GTGGCTAAAACAATTTTTTAGATTTCCTTAAATATTTCAATGCTTATTGATGTGAATGAATTTTACATGCATGCTAAATTTTAGATCCGTTTATGAAATTTAAATATATTAGTTTTATAACTTATTACTAATTTTAAAATTTATTTTCCAGTTTAAAGCTATTCAGAGCCCGTTTGCTAACTAATATTTTAACTTATCAGTTATTTTTGTTTATCAGACACATTTTTTTTTTGATTTTGTGCACTGAATTATATAATAATCAACATAAGTGAGTTTTACGTTACTTTTTGTGATTGAATTGACTATAGTGTAGCTGTTTTCCATAAGTTCTTTTCTTTATTTATCATTAAAAATATTTTAAATACAATATTTTCACAAATCAACAAATTAGTGTAGTTGGCCCGTTCATCTAGAATTTGTCCAGTTTCAATAAATTCAACCCATTTAACCAATTTCAATGTTACAAAATGGGTAGCAAAAGATACTTATCATATTCCCTTAAAACTTGATCAAATTTGATCAACACATGGAATAATAAAGTAAAAATTATATGATTAAATTATGTAGAAAAGAGAGAAAATTAACATGAACTTTTTATCATTTAATTAAAAGAAAAAATTGCAAAGGTAATCGAACTATAAAAAAGGAAAAGTAGGTAATCTTTATATTAAACAAAGCCAAGAGAAAAACTGTACAGTGTTCCCGCCCAAACACTGTACAGTAGGGTCGGGTCGAATTATCCATGGGTGCAGAAACGGGTCTGCAGCAGCCCAGTGGCAGCTTGAAAATTGGCACAATATCCAATGCTGCAGTTTGGCTGAGTGATGCTTTTATGAATAAAAAAATACCAGAATTTGTACTTATGAATCTTGAGCCACCAAAAACATTTAATGAGTTGTACTATGATATATTTAATTTTCGTACCTCTCCCCAATGCTGAATTATGCTTTTGTGTGGCTCAAAACACAAATTTAATGCTCAATACAAGGATGTTCACTCTTCAAATTTCGAAGAGTGAGATTTATGTAATCAATAAAATTGGCCTTGAGCCACACAAACAATTAATGACATCCTTGAGTCACACAATAAATACCCAAGTGGTGGGTTGGAGGAGCACACCACAACCAAACTCTCCAGCATTAATTCCAAGTAGTTAATTCTAAGGAATGGCAGGTTCCTCATCAAAAACGCATAGCAGTTTTAAAATTGTAGCATATATATACATCGAATTTCATCAGTTGGGGATCTAGAGCCAAGTGAGCATAAATATTGTAGTATAAATAGTCCAACTTCATCAGTCAGATTCAGAGCAAAACACAACAAAGCAATGGATCTGGAAGGGATATGTATGAGCCTTTGATGTTTGACCGGATTTTAGGTGGGGGGCACCAGGAGTTCTTTTCTACAATAACAGGTATATCATGTGATTAAAACACTTTTGGAAAATTATATAATATTAAAAGCTACGTTTATTTAAGTATAAGAATATCCAAAATCAACATGAATGACATAGTGTTGATACAATACTATTGATTATTAAAAATGCAGGGCAAAAGTACTCATCAAGAACACAACAAATAAAGAGTACTCACCGCTATTGACTACTAATCAATTTTTTGTGAACATTGATCATTAATCAATTCAAAATGTGACTAGTGATTCTTTATTGTCATGCATCTTATGTTATGATATTTCATTTCTTTCAAAAAAATGTTATAAGCTAACATTGTGTTTTCATGTCATTGCATTAGACAGGGATTAGTTTCATTTGAAAAAAAGTGTTCAATAAATTGCACATTAAAAGCAGTTTTAAAAACAACTGATCCAATAAATCAATAATGCTTTGAATTGAGAGGATGAAATCAGAAAGATTGAAGCTTATAAGTATGTTTTATAGATAAGTTTCATTTATATAAGAATGTATGATTACTAAACTTTGATTATTTTAGAAGAGAGATCCCTATTAATACCTAGAAGTGTACTTTAGGTTATTTTAGAAAAAAAAGTGAATGGAAGTAAAGAAGATATACCAACCTATGAAGTTTATAATCGAAGCTTCAGCAATTATAGACAAACCTGAAATGATATAAGGACAAGTGATGACCGATGAGAAATCCAAGTATTTCTTCACAACCCACAATAATAAGATAAACTTGAGATTGGATTTTTCTGAAACAATTTGGAACAAATTGATATAGTTCTCTTCCAAATATAATTACAGCCTGATTTTGAAAGTCACAAATATGTATGTATCTTTATAAAAGAAATTATTGCTCAAATAGAACATTTCATTCCATTGTTTAAAACAATAAGGACCAAAATTGAGAAATCTAAGTTTTACTAAGCAGCCCATAATAGTAGTAAGATAATTAAACTAGAGATTGGTTTTTTCGAACAATAGGAAAGAAACTGATTGAGCATATAGAAGTGTACGCTAGGTTAGGCTTCTTATTCTTTGAGAATGAGCAATTACATATTGATTTTGAAACCACTTGAATGATATCCGAAAAATGTATTACACCACCTATAAATTTATTTTAGATTTTAATAAACTGTGAACATTATAGTAACTTACACAAATATTTAATATATACTTTACATATATATAGGGAAATATGTTTGTTAAATTTAGAAAATTTCACAATATTTTAGATTTAATAAAACCAGATGGCTATTAGAGTATATTATATTATGAATTTATTAAAAAGGTGTAAAGATTAAGTGAATTATTACATTAGTTTTAACGCATAATGGTTTCAAATAAATAAAAATGTGAAGATTGAAGTGTTTATTTGACAGAACGGTTTATTTTATAAAAAGGTCAATGAAGTAGAGGAGTTATATCAACCTATTAAGATTTTAATCAAAGCTTCAACAAGTAAATGAATCTCTCTTCTTTGATGTGCTTTTACTTCCACGTACTGTTGGCAAACCTGAAGTGATATAAGGACCAGTGATTAGAAATCCAAGTATTTGTTCATAGTCCACAATAATAATAACAAGATAAACTTCAGATTGGCTTTATCTTGAACATTTTGAAAGAAATTGATTTAGTATTAAAAAAGTATAATTAAAGGTAGGTTTCTTATTCTTACCGGAAAGAGCAATTACACCCTCATTTTTAAAACTCGCAAATGCATTTTAAGAACTGGAGCAACTTCGTAACATCAGATTGAAACAGATCTAAGTAAAATTTTTGTTAATACACATGATTAACAGAGAAAATGTGATGTCTGAAGTATTAAGACAAAAAAGTTTGATGAAAACTTATCTCAAACTCATCGGTCATATACTGTTGTTAATATACACGATTAATATATAATAACACCAAAATAAATCTGAAGAACCATCAGATCTGAAAATATAAACACAAAAAAGTTTGGAAATACTTATCTCATTCCAGGCGGTTGATTTCTAGAGCATGTACCCAGCTTCTTTTCGATGTATGAGCTGAGACAAATAGACATAAGAAGAAATCAGTTCATAAGAATTTATTATCAAAACTATATCTATAACAATACAATGAATTAACAAATCAGGTTGGAAAATAAACCAAAACAAAAAGAATATTTAAAAAAAAAGTTAAATCAAACATATCTGACTGGGAGAAGGGAGAAGGTAGTACTACAGTGTGGCTCATCAGCACCAACCTCACTTTCCTCCATCGACAGCAAATTGACTGTGAAGAACGCCAAGACTTCTATCGAAAGAGAAGTTGGATAGTGTGTGGAAGGGGTCGGGAATGAAGGATGCAGATGGGTGTAAGGGAGTGATAGGGTGAGAGAGAGAAGAATGAAGGTTACGAAGAAGCGGCGTGAAATTTCTAGCGAGCTCATTCGGACAGGCAACATATGTGTAGGGTGGAGTGGGGTTTTTCCTAATCAGCTGGGCCAAAGTTGTTGGGCCAAAGTTGTTGGGCCAAAGTTGTTTCATTTCCAACCTTTCTTAATACTCCCTCCGTCCCTAATAACTTTGCCAAGTTTGACCGACACGGGGAATAATAAAGTAAAAACTTTGTGGTTAAAGTTTGTGCAAAGAGGAGAGAATGAGCTGGAACCACAAATTTTTTACTTAAAAGGAAAAGTGACAAAGTTAGTGGGACATCCAAAAAAGTAAAGTTGGCAAAGTTTTAAAGGACGGATGAAGTATAACACAATTACTATATGTATTTCTCATGTATTTCTCATAACTAAAATACAATAAAAAGTTGTCCCGTATAAATTGGGTAGTTTTTTTTGTTTTGAATGTCCATTGGCCTGTAGTTCTTATTATTATATTATACTACTTCGTAATTTTAATTGAGTTAGTTATGAATTTTTGTATATGAAATGTTTTATATAATTTATATTTATAAATTAGGTATATTTTTACATTATTGAAATAATTTCATTAAAATATATATTATTAATAATTAAACATACAATATTGTTTTGAGATATCACTAAATTAATGTAGTGTTCGCCAAACATATTTTATTTACTGAACCCAGGTACAATTATTTTGATCAATGTTCATTCAACATTTGATAATCGATCAAAAATAAGAATTAAAAATTGACTTTTAATGAACATACCATCAATGTAGTTTATAAAGAAATTTTCGAAATGCGTAAGTTATCGCACTGCAGATATTGATCTGCGGTGAATATACCCAGACATGCTATTTTGTAACATTTCGTTATTTCTACTTATTTCAAAACAAACTTACTACCTATCTATGAGTTTTCTCTATCCGATATTTACTTATAATTTATGATGCATGTTACGTCTATTACAATTTGCATTCATTTCACACGACCATGTAATATTTACAAAAAATATCATATCGCTATTACATTTTAATATCCCGCGCATCACGCGGGTGTGAATCTAGTATTTTAAAAGCAGGTACAATTTAAAATCTGCCAAGTTAACTGAGTTAAAGTTTTTGGCCCAAATGTATGATCAAAGTCCAATTAGAAAATCGCATGCCCAGGATACTTCCGCTTGCAGTTATACCGTTTCTCTTCGGTGTACCAATTCATCTCTCCACCGCTCTCTCTCAGCCAGACGGTCGTACGCTCCTCTCTGTTTCCAGCTCCTCCTCCCCTTCGTCTAATATCCCGACCAAGGTTAGTCGATTATTACTAACTGTCTTCTTAATTTATCCATGTTTGTTTATACATACGGAGGAGTATCCATCTTTTTATATCTTATCAGCGGTGAATGGATCAAGCTTAGAGGGTGTTGTTGAGGTTCGTTCTTTATCTGTTATTTCAGTAAAAAGATGAATAATTTTCGAAATTAAGGAGTTGTAATAAGCTGTAATTTAATGATCAACCAATAAGCCGGCAGTGTTGCCTGAGTAAGGAGAAGACCCGAAATTCTGCAGATTAAATGTGAGCACGTGTCACATCATCCCAGGCGGGAACAGTTATCCCAGACGGTCCAGCTTATATATATATATATATATATATATAGATTACTGACTGCATCTCTGCATGGTTTGTTTCTTCACGAATGTTTTTTTAGCAAAATTAGTAATTCCTGGCTGTAGGTCTATTTTTATTTCTTGGTCAATTTATAGTGTGTTTGCATTCTTTCTCTTTGCGACATGTGAGCCATTTTTCTAGTACTAGAAGACTCAATTTTGGTTTTTATGACTTTGATGATCTGCAGGCTGTAGTATTTAAAATTAGGGCGTTCATATGCTGTGAGGGATCTTAGTGTTCTATATTGCAATAATATGAGCGGTAGCCTTAATAAAAGGCCGCATGAAGATTGTGGTGATGCTACTGGTAGTGGCCTTCATGGGCTCTCATCTGCTCCGAAGTACATACATGAAGATTCCAATCCATATGCTAAAGTTATGAATTCAGCGACACATGAGTACCATTCCTCTTATGATACTGGACATGATGTCAGGGTGCCTAAAATCCCACGAACTGAATCTCGGGATGTTGATAGAAGGTCACCGTTGCTTCCAGCATATCGAGTTTCACCATCTTTGAATGATTTACAGTCTGATCATACCATTGGTATGGAAGCCAGGTTGGAGACTAGGGATGTAAAAGACAATGTAAGGGATATTAAAGTTGAGAGCCGTGAATCCAAACCCGAATACCAAGGAGCTAAAGGCGATAAAGATGTTAGGATTGATAGCAGGGTTGATGATATCAAGGATACCAAACATGAGAGGGATAGCTATTCAGAGTACAAGGGTAATATGAAGATAGATAAGGATACTTTTGCTGGAGTTAGTAGTCACTTGAATTGGAAAGATCCAAAAGAACAGAGTTGGGGGAAAAGATATCCTTTTCCTGATGTGGTCTCAGGTGGGAATTTGGGTCCCTGGCATGCACCGAGAACCAATGTGCATATATCTACTGAAGCTATTAGAGAAGGTGTAAATGCTGAGAACAGGGATTATGTTGAAGCATGCGAGGCTGTCGGTGAAAACAGAGTTGATATTAAAGGGGACGATAAGTTTAAAAGTAAGGATAGAAAAAGGAAAGAAGGGAAGCTTTGGGAGTGGGGAGGGGATAAAGAAAGAAACGATGGTAAGAGCAGCACACAACTACAAACTAGCAGTACAGAGAACAAAGACGCATTGAAGGAAGAAAGAGAAACTGAGAGGTGGGAGAGGGAAAAAAGAGATCCATCTAAAGACAAGGACAAAATGAAAGATCGAGAAAAGGATCATTTGAAGAGGGATGCTTGGAAAAACGAGAGAGAGAGTTCACATCTTGCAAAAGAATCAAATGATGCTCCAAGCAGAACACTGGAGCATGAAACAGAGAAAAAGAAACAAAAGGATCATGACAGCTGGAAAAACAGTGACAGGGAGACGAGAGATAGAAGAAAAGAAAGAGATCAGGATGGTGAAGGAGAGAGGAATGAGAAAGCTAACAAGTATAATGACAATGACTCAGAGGAGGTAGGTGTGCCTGCTGATGGGGGTGGAGATAGGGAAAGAGAAGGTTTTAATTATGGAGTTCAACAGCGAAAGAGAATGCTTCGTCCAAGAGGCAGCCCTCAAATGGGAAGCCATGATCCTCGTTCTAGAACTCGCATCCATGACCATGAAGGGTATGTTTTTCCCTTTCTGACAATTGATCTGAGTGTGTGATGTGTTTCATTCTACTTGCAATCAAGAACTTTTATTCAATTTATTTTTTTGTGAATAATGAAAATTTTAATGGTTTGCATGTAGAAAGGTTTAACCCGGTTTTCCTACATTCTATATGTGTGCAAACTCATGTCACGTGTTGCTCTCGACTAGTATACTAGTTTTATCTTGCAGTAAATTTCGGACTTGTGTTTGTGCTACTGCTAAACCTAATTTGGATGTGCTTGGAAGCTAACAGTCATGACTTTGGGACAAAAGTTTCTATGCTAGGACTTCAGTTAATTTGAAATACAATTTTTTTGAATTCCCTTGATTAGTTGGGTTCCCCCATTTAAATTGTCACATCAAATGTTGTAAATCATATCACTGTTCCTATTAAGATTCAAATGTCAGCATCATTTTCTTTGTTGTGCCGAGACATGCTCCAATGCATTTTTATAAGCAGTGGAACTTTTGACAGAGATTATGGGTTACCCTATGCTGGATGCTTATATGAAAGATTTATCATCAGCAATAGAGAAATGTCAATATTGCTTGATGTGAAAATATAAGCTATAGAGAAATGCTTATTTACGTTTGAGTCTTTTTAACAATATAGTTGTGGATATAATGTCATTCGATATTCTTGAAATGGCATTTAATGTGCATGAATAACATTTTTTGCAGATCTCAAGGTAAGCTGTTAGATGGATCTATCCATGAATGCAACTTAAGTTTGCCACTATTGAAAGGGAGTCACTTTTGGCATGCATCTGTTGCATAATTTACTCTGACCAACCAAGGCAATTTGGCCTAGTTTGCCTAATGATCAACAGCACTTATGTTATGTTTTGGTTACTTTGCATTTACTCAAGACATCGTTTTCTCTGCTATAGAAAATATTTCCACTAATGTAAATAATAAATCAGTAAATGTACTTAGCGTACTCCCATCACATAAAATAAACAGAAGGATACTAGATAATTAATCCTGTTTTGTGTATATTAGATAAACCAGTTGTCTAGTAAATGAGCACAACAGGATTGAGCTTACAATATTTTCTTCTTTCTTTGTGTTTTGGCAGTTCTTTTTTGTGAACAGAGGACAATATCAATATTCTGAAATAACACCCCACAAATGATAAATGGGCTTTTAATGGATATAGTTTGTTACGTAGGTACTCTTTACAAGTGCTAGAAAATGGGTATTCTTATTACTGAAGTATTGGAAATTTAATTAATGGGTCGTGTTCATTGAATTGCTTCTCAAAATGTAAACGGAAAAGGGGGAGTAAACAAGAATCATAGCTAAAAGCCTAAAAAAGGCTATTATTGGATGGAAAGTATTTCCTACTTTCATAGGTTCAAACTTGCTAGTTTGGTTTCAGAAAGGAAACTTTCGGTGATTGAAGGAGTGGAACAAAAATAGATTAAAAGACATCAAAGTTTATGTATAGCTAGCTTATGTTGGCATCTTTGCCCCGCCTTTCTTGTTAGATGCAATTAAGTACTAAACTCATCATCATCATCATCATCACCCCAGTGTCGCAAGGGCTCCCACCTCCAGTGGGGTAAAGGGGGGGGGGGAGGGGTCGGATGTATGCAGCCTACCCTCTATACTAAACCACAGAGACCGCTACTTCATAACAAAGAAGTGCAGATAGTTTAGTGAGTCATTTTGCTTTAATCCATCATATTCCCAACCCAAAAAATAGTGAGTCTTTGGCTCCATTGCCAAAGATGAGGCTAAGAATCATGAGAGTTGTAAATTCGACTTTGCAAATGATTTGTGTTATCAGGAGAAGCCTACAAATAATAAGATATTAATGTCTTCCACCCTTCCTTTCACTTCCATTTTGTATGTGACGTTCTTACATTATACTTCCTCCGTCCCAAGTTAATGGTGAAAATTAAGAAAATGGTTCGAATACCTAAACTATCCCTTACTTTTTCTGTAGCAGTGAAAAAACAAGTAAAGTTGGAATGACAATGTTGTAGATTTAAGTAGGAAGGGTAAAGTATGATTGATATGTAGGATCATTTGCCAAAAAAGGAAACATAACCTTCCTTTATTTTGGGACAGCACAAAAAGGAAATACGTAACTATTATTTTGGGACAGAGGGAGTACCTTCTTAGCGGTCACTCGAGCTAGGCCGTTTCGAAGAAAACAATTTTTAGGAACTCAACCACGAGTTATTGCTCCTTAGTTGGCCTCTTAAACTTGTTTTCACTTACATAGTAGGTCTAATGTTCTGTTCAATTACTGAATATGCTTTGTGGACCATATATTGTCACTCAGAAAGCTTCTCTCTGAGGTGGGAATTGGGTTGTGAAAATTCTAAATATGGACTTTTCTAGTATGTCTTAATGATGGTATCAATTTTTTGATCACTCTCCCCCACCCTCTATTTGGGTTTCCATGTAGAGCAGAATAAGAATGTGCAGTTTTAAACCATTTCCCTTTATTATGAACATTTGGAGACAAGTTTATTCGCTTAACTTAGAATTGTTGTAAGATTACTAGATGTAATTATCAATTCTGAAATTCTCCGAATCTGATGCTTTATGTTGTTTTCAAATATTTTTTTCATGGTCAGGGAGGGGTGTGATTCAAATTGGATTTTCCTTACTCTTTAGTTATACCATTAATGTCATACTTTTGCAAATTTTGCCAAATGCTTGCTCCATTTGAATCCCTAAATAAACCGTACACTTTCTTTTTTGATCCGTTCCAAATAACCCTCAATCTCTTTTTAAGGATAGTGCTATGTGGTTCTTGTCGCTCTCCATGAAGTTCCTCTGCACAGTTTTCATTTTGTTAACCTTCGTGACCGGTCAAATAGAGGTTTGTTTCGGAGATGGAGGAATCTTTTTAATCCTTTAATTTAAACAATTACTAAAAGAACGATGCATTTTAGACATTAAATGCTCTTGGTTTATAAGGTAAATTCTGTGTAACGTATGTAACTTTTTTGGGACAGTATCGATCACATAGAAGAAAAATGAAGTACTCACTAGACTAAGCTAATATAGAAGCGTGAACCAGAATTTACAGAGATTGATTCTGCCAGTTGTCATGACTCTTAATCTGAAGAAGTCTCAAGACACGTCCTTCATGTGTCACTTCTACAGCTCACATTTTTTGTATGTGCTTTTCCTCGTTTTGATCTGTGTAACATATCCTGCGTGTCTATGATGTGTGCATTTTGCACGGCTCTTTAGGCGTGTTCTTTATGGGTTTGTTCTTTTTATAGAGTTTAAGTGCTGGGACTTGAGGAGGGTATAAATCTCATCAATACCATCAGACCCTTCCCTGGTTGAAAATTCCTAGGTTTAAGTGGGAGCGATGGATCTCTCTAACCACATTTCATCTACACAGCCATCCGAAGAGCAATCTCCTATTGGAGAGTTGGAACATGTCTACTGTTTTCACCGCTGTCCCAAATGCAATCTAGGAGAAGAAATATATTTGTTTTCTTGTTATACTGGTGTATAACTCATCCACTTTACTCTGTTTTATGATTACCATGTTCAACAAATTTATCTGATTAATTTTAAAAAAGTTTCAAAAGTGTGTATGGTTATTACTCTCAATTCAAACTGAATCCTTCAGTTTTAAATTTTTTATTTGATGATATGATTAAGATCTATGCTCTTGATTTCTTAATTCATATCAATTTTCTATTCCTGGTTTGTTATAGGTAAGCTAGATATGAACAGCATTGTTTATAGAGTCGGGGAATGCATGCAAGAACTCATTAAAGCTTGGAAGGAATATGAATCATCTCAAGCTGAGAAAGTAGGTGATAGCGCTCAAGCTGGCCCAACTTTGGAAATACGAATACCAGCTGAGCATGTGTCTGCTACAAATCGCCAGGTATTGGAGAAAAAATTCAACCTTATGTAGTTACTATTTAATCACAGTAGAAACACATGCCCTTTTCCCTTTTGGGCTACATGTTACTATAATGAAAAAGCTTGTTTCAGTTGTTTGGTTACATCAGGATTTTATATTTTTTAAAACAAGAACTTGGTGTTTAAATGCAGCAGTTTTTTATTCGTGTGGAGGAGTGATCTGATGTTTTCTATCTCCCTTTTTCTCTATTTTTTGTTTTGTTTTCTGCTTTTGTTTTCAATTTCGATATCTTATGTCGATTCATGCTAGCCGACCCGAACTCTTTTGTTAATAACACTTGGATGCTGTTGTGGTTCATTTGACATAATAAATAAAATGATTACCAAGCAAATTCCTACTTCCATACTATTTGCTTTTCCTTTTTTATTTTTTCACAACTTACTAAATTACTCATGAATCTAAATGCAGCACTCCCTTCTGTTTCCGTTTAGTTCTTAAATTAAATTTATAACCACTTTTGCTGCTCTCCTCTTTTCGCTTCCACACTTATTCTTTCAAATATCTGATAATGTTGTGGAGCTGTAGACATGTCCGTGTAGCTTAGTAGCTTATAAGCTTAGTAGTAATGTAGTATCATGCTATGAAGAAACATGATTTGAGATCCAAGTATCAGATAGATGCATGACTATACATATGTGGTGGTCATTGACTTTGGAGTAACACTGACACATGAAAATCTGTTTATGATTCTTTTATAACCATTCTTCAGTATTTATATTTTTACGTATATTGTCAAATGAACAATCATTGTATGTATATTGTTCTTCCAAGATGTTTTCTGAGGCTCCTCCACTCCCAAAGTCATTTTTGTGGCTGTCTTTTCTTACATTGATCATCTTCTGTAGCGTGTTGAGCTCTTTGAACATATCATTTGCAGGTGAGGGGAGGTCAGTTATGGGGAACTGATGTATACACCGATGACTCAGATCTTGTCGCAGGTTTGGCATTTGCGGGCTGTAATCTTTTATTTATTTATTTATTTATTTATTTATTTATTTATTTATTTATTTATTTATTTATTTATTTATTTATTTATTTATTTATTTATTTATTTATTTATTTATTTATTTATTTATTTATTTATTTATTTATTTATTTATTTATTTATTTATTTATTTATTTATTTATTTATTTATTTATTTATTTATTTATTTATTTATTTATTTTCTTATTTATTTATTTATATATTTATTTATTTATTTATATATTTATTTATTTATTTATTTATTTATTTATTTATTTATTTATTTATTTATTTATTTATTTATTTATTTATTTATTTATTTATTTATTTATTTATTTATTTATTTATTTATTTATTTATTTATTTATTTATTTATTTATTTATTTATTTATTTATTTATTTATTTATGTGTGGAAGGAAAAGAACTGAAGTAAAATATTTCCATTGAAGTTTAGCTCCATCACAACGAAGTTCTTCACCGAACTAACTTCTTTGGAGTATATTGTGTAATAAAATTTGGATAACTTAAAAAGGCTTTTCATGGTTAGTATTTAATTTAGGGAAAACTATCAAATAAGTCCCCGTACTATGCTGCAAAAGTCGATTAGGCCCTCGTACTTTACAAACACTCAATTAAGTCCTCGAACTATTAAAAAACGTTCAATTAAGCCCTTTCGGTCGGTAAGCAATCGGTTTCCCGGTTAAATGTAACCTGCTTCCCGGCAGCCGCCGTTGCTAGGGTTCGAGCACATCGGCGTCGTCGTCGCCGTTTAACCGGGAAACCGGTTACTTACCGACCAAAAGGGCTTAATTGAACGTTTTTTGATAGTTCGAGGACTTAATTGAGTGTTTGTAAAGTACGAGGGCCTAATCGACTTTTTCGGCATAGTACGGGGGCTTATTTGATGGTTTTCCCTTTAATTTATGAGAGGAACATTAATTATAAGATGAACAACAATAACAACAACAACCAAACCTTAATCTCAAAAGAATTTGGAATCGGTTAACATGAATTCTGATATGATATCGGAGTTAGAAACAATACAAAAACATCTAGGCCTAAGTTCTAAAAGAGTTTGGGGTCGACTAACATTAATAGAATATGAAATCAAATTTCAAAAAAGATAAAATGATAAGATAAGACAGAAAAGGTAAAACAATAAAATAAATATAAAAATAAGATAAATATATAAAACATAAAATAAAATAGACAAAAAAGAAAAAAATCAAAAATATAAAATGAGACAAATCCTCTGCACATATATTCTCCCTCCACTTCGCTTTATCCAAAATCGTACTCTCATCCAACCTAAGAAGCACCCTATGATTCCTTCCTTTTAGTGTCTTTCACTCCGCCATCCCCAAAGTCCTACTCTCATCTAATCTAAGAAGTACCACTCTAATCCACGCTTGTTTAAGTCATCCTCTCCCTCTCCTCTCCTCCCTGCCTCCTCTCCCCCGCCTCTCTATAGTCTATACTCGTATGATAGATGCATCACATAGTTTTCCACACACATGTTCAAACCACTCTAGTTTAGACTCTCACATCTTATCTTCAATATGTGATACTTTCACTTTTCACCTGATTGTCTCATTCTTCAAGTGGACATTTTTAGTATGCTCACACATCCAATGCAACATGTGCATATTAGTCACATTCATCCTTTGAATGTGACATTGTTTGCATTTTTTTGTAGTTTGTACATTGCCTTATTTTTAAATGAGGGGATATGAGTACTCTTCCGCAACTTGCTAGTATGTTGTTTCTCCAAATCTTTGACACCATCGCATGTTTCACACCATCCCTGGGCATTGGGGCGGCGACCTAGCAACCTTAACATTCTTATCACACATTTAGGCCTATGAACTGTAACACGCCCTTGCATATTTGACACTACCACTAGTTGAAAGGATGATGCGTCGCTTACGGGTGATGACTTAAGTGTAGCGTTAATGCGTTATTTATATTTCGATTCATGTCATTTGTTGTGACTAAGTGATACTTTTGCCCGTCATGTAAGAGACCCAACGTTCCCGTCCCAAAGTGCAATGTAGAACTCCACCTTCTATTCTTAACAGCGTTCCTGTCCCAACCTTCTATCATATGCAAATATATACTCCCTCCCTCCCATTGGACTTTGCCAACTTTCCTTTTCGGTTGTCCCAAAAAACTTTGACACTTTCCAATTAAAGCAACTAATTTGTGGTTCTGGACATTTCTCTCTCCTCTGCACAAATTTCAACCACACAGTTTTTACTATTCTTATTTCTCACCTACTTTTCACTTGGCAAAGTCCACCGAGACGGAGGTAGTATGATATACTTATTATTATTAATTGTGGGTTTTCAATTCTAAGTTATATACGTAGTACAATTTAATTAGTAATATATTATACATAATATGTAATTATATATGTAATTATATGTAGAATATATTATATAATGTGCGAATAGTCGCTTAATTGTCGCCTAGGCAGGCGCCTTATCGCCTAGGCGATATGGCGGTCGGCTGGTGCCGCGACTTGACTTACCGTCGTGACAAGTATGATTGTTTCACCTAAGTAAATTTACTTTTGAAAATTCCATTGTCATTTACTCATTTACACTCTCTTAGGATATATATTCATCTGTTACTTTACTTGAATAAACATTGTACCTTAATGTTCTGCAGTTCTTATGCATACGGGCTACTGTCGACCTACTGCTTCTCCTCCCCCACCTACCATTCAAGAGCTGCGTGCAACTATTAGAGTGCTACCACCACAAGAATGTAAGTCTATGAAATTTTATTTTAAGGGATTTGATTTATACTCTGTTTTTCACAAGTGTATTCTGTTTGTGTAAAATTCTACACTTGGCAACTCACAAACTTTTGTAATCAGTAGTATGATTTATTAATTTGTAGTTTTTGTATACTGGTTCTATAACGCTTTCTATTTTATTACAAAATGTTTTCTTACAATTGGCAAAAGTTCTAGAGGGGGTTAAAGCACATACATGGTGGAAACGGGCGTCAGATAGTTTTTCTGAGAATACACTCATTTATATAAAATCATATGGTCTATTCTTGTCCTATGTAATGGTTATATTTTACAACTTTGTGGATGCATTGTTGAATAAGACCTAGGGGAGTATGCATCTCAAGTGACGGTACTTTTACTGTATCAGTAATTACTAATTAATTATTCATAAAGAAGATCTGGATATTAGCTTCATTTTATTGATCAAGATTGAAGACCGAAACTATTGCTGAACCGTGAAATACAATTTTTCAGAAGGATATAAAATCAAATGCTAATCTAGAAATCTACATCACAGTTTCATCCAAAATCTGAGACTGCTGTTGTTCGCTTTAGGTGATACTCCCTCTGTCCCATTTTGATTGTCTCACTTTCCTTTTTGGGTTGTCCCAAAATGGATGTCCTGTTTCCTTGTTTGACAAGAAAATTGTGGCTCATATCATTTCCCCTTATTCCACTCAAATCTCAACCACGACTTTTACTTTTCAACCACTTTATTAATTACCGTGCCAAATTAAAACAAGACATCCAATATGGGATGGAGGTCGTTTTATCTTTGAATGTTAAGTTCTTTCTGAAATTCGTGCATCCAATTTTTTATTAAACACAATGGATTTCATTAACCCCTATAGCATTATATTGAAATTTCTTGAATATCTGATATATGAGTGAAATAACTCACTTTATTGAAAATTTTCAAGCATATGTATCAAGTTTGAGGAACAATGTTCGTTCACGTGCCTGGGGATCTCCAATTGGATGCAGTTACCGTGTCGAGCATTGCTGCATTGTGAAGGTGGGTATTGTTACCCACTCTGTTTTCTTTATCTTCCTTCTGTTTGGTATTACTTCTTTTAGGGTCTGTTTGAATGGAAATTTTTGGACAGGAGAAGTTGAGAGAGTTCAAGCTTTTCTTGATAAAAAGAATGTTTTTAACAACTAATAAAAGGAGATTTAAGTGTCACGTCATCACATGTAACGTTAATATTTCAGCTTTTTATAAGATATCAAATATAAATTGAAGTGAAAACAAAGCTGTCCAAGTCTTCCCCTCCAAACCCTTCCAAAACTCTCCATCCAAATAGACCCTATTGACTGTCATTCCACTGTAACTCACACTCACTTCTGTTTTTGTTTTTTACTGGGAGTTAAATGCATTCTATTAAGTTGAACTGGTTGGCCTATTATCACCATTGTTACATATGAGTAGATAGTTGCTGCGTAGTTGGTAGTGATGAATGCAAATAGTGTTCTAAGATACCGTCTTTGGCTGAATACTTGAATGTTCCTCTTTATATCAGAAAGGAGGAGGGACAATTGACCTTGAGCCTTGCCTTACACATTCATCAACAATGGAACCTACTCTTGCACCAGTTGCTGTGGAGCGTACAATGACTACAAGGGCTGCAGCTTCAGTAAGATTCTTTCTAATGCTGAGTTCTGATCATTTGTTTTTAAAAAAATAAAGCAAGCTGATGTCTTTAGTTTTCTCTTGGATAGTGTGCTGATTTTGTTATTGTTTTTCTTTCCTAATCACTGTATATACACAGTAGAAGACATGGGCTTTAAAAGTTGACGAATTTATTATGTGCATTATATTTTTTGTGTTTCATTTCATTTTCATTTTCATTTACCCCAGTGCCGCAAAGGCTCCCACCTACGGTGGGGTAAGGGGGGGTCGGATGTACGCAGTCTTACCCCTGTACTAAAGCACAGAGAGACTGTTTCCGGATGACCCATAGTGAAAATCCCGTCCAAAATTGCATGGACTGACTGCTGCTTCATAACAAAGAAGCGCAGACAGTTTAGTGAGCCATTTTTCTTTATTCCATCATAATCTCAAGCCAAAAAATAATGAATCTTTGGCTCCATTGCAAATGATGGAAATTGCATTATATTTTTTGTGTATGATATATAATATGCATTCGAACTATAACTTGCATTTGAGCAAAACTAAACTTATGAAAGTTGGGAGGTTGTGACAATTTTTTAAAGGCATTTGATACATTGTTAAATTGGAGATTAAATTGTTCAAGATCGGTTAGACATGATCCTGATAGAATTAGTATCATGTGATATTGGGACGCAAAATGCATGTGTCATGTAGCACGGTAGCACCAGGTTGAGATTCCTGATGATCTATGAGGAGAGTTAAGCTATATTGGATGGTATGGAAGAGATTTTTGCCTTGCATTGAAGTGAAGGCATGCAGCTTGGGTTGGGTAGCCTTAGGTCATGTAGGAGAGAAGCCCAGAAGGACTTGTGTGCACTTAGGCATTTTCACATGGAAGTTGAGAGTGAAAGTTATATCTTCCACTTAGGCATTTTCCCATGGAAGTTAGGAGTGCCCCTTCACAATGCCAATCTTGAAGATATGAGTCTTCCAACCAAGTTTTGCTATATTACAGTCTGTTTGATAAAGGTTGCATGCAATTCCAAGTAACAATGAGGTAATTTGTATTTAATTGAATGGTCATGTCCTTAACGTTTTTGCACTTTGTATCATTGCATGTAAATTAGATCGTTTGGCAATGAAGAAAGATTCAATTCACAAAATGAGTGCGACAGAGATACATTTGTGCTAAGACTAGAAAAGATATGCTCCCTCCGTCCCTTATAACTTTTCAAACTTTCCTTTTTTGGATGTCCCACTAACTTTGCCACTTTCCCTTTTAAGTAAAGAATTTGTGGTTCCAGTTAATTCTATCTCCTCTGCACAAACCTCAACCACACAATTTTTACTTTATTAATATACGTGCCGGTTAAACTTGGCAAAGTTATTAGGGAAGGAGGGAGTATCATATATTGCACAATGAGGAGATCCGCGAGTGACTGGGTGTAGCTGCTGTTGAAGTTAAAAAAAAGGAGAACCAGTTGCGTTGGTTCTGGGATTCTGACGCATTATGCATCAAGAATTAAGTCGGGCTGGGTCCGAAAAATCGAAAACAAAAAATGGAATCAAAATAAACCAAACCCCAACCAAATTAAACCGAATTGCTAAAAAACCGGACTGAATGTAAAAAACCGAACCGTAGTTGTTTGGTTCGGTTTCGATTTTTATCCTTCAAAACCAAACCGAACCGAATAAACTGCACTAATTAAAATATGAAATTTTATTAGTTAATCGTTAAGCATTAATGCTAATATCTTCGATAGTCTTTGGTTTTCTTGTACTAGAAAATTAATTTTTGTGTTATGTTTAGTTTAGTTTAGTTTATAAATGCATTTATACATTCATTGCTTATAATAATGTAGCTATATTGATCTATTATGTCTTTTATGTATGTATTTTGTAATTTGTTGCATGATCGTGATATGTTTTTACTGGTTGTTGCCAGTAAGTTTTATTTTTATGTAAGTTAAATTTTTTATATTGATAGAACAAATAAATATTCATTTCAACTTTTGTATCACATAGGACATATATATTCATGAACCCTTTTCAAACTAGTCACAAAAATGTAAAGACTACGTTGATTGAGTACGTCAACATGTATGAGGTGGAGTAAAAAGTACACTATGTTGCATTTGACATTCGTAAGTACACGAACTTGATTTTTTAGAGTTAATTGAGTACACTCGTTAGATTAACACGTTAATATGACTGAGTTGACTAACATAATGCTGAGTAAGAAGGGGTAATTGACTACGGTTATGGCGTCAACCTTCAGCAAGTCGACCTTCGCAGGTCGACCTGCGGGGGTGCATCGTTCAAGGGGAATTCGACCTGCGGGGGACTGGTGTCGACCAAGTGGCTAAGTGGGTGGGGGCTGACGTTGACCTTGAGGAAGTTGACCAAAAAGGGAAGTGGGACTGGTGTCGACCAAGTGGCTAAGTGGTTGGGGGCTGACGTCGACCTTCAGGAAGTCGACCTATTAGCATTGTTACTTGTTAGCCAACTCAGACATATTAACGTGTTAATCTAACGGGTGTACAGTGTGCTCATTTAACACTAAACACAAAGTTTGTGTACTTAGATATATGAGATGCAATACAACTCTGTCATCATTCTCTTGATCCAAAGTAGTTCACAGATTCCATTAGCCATAGATCTAAATTCAGATTCTGCACTACTTCTGGCAACAACATTCTGCTTCTTACTCCTCCAAGTCACCAGATTCCCCCATACATAAGTACAATACCCAGATGTAGACCTTCTATCAGTTATTGAACCAGCATAATCTGCATCTGTAAAGGCTTCTACACTTCTATTGTCACTTCTTTTAAAAAATAATCCTTTCCCTGGACAGCTTTTCAAATATCTTAGGATCCTGTAGGTAGCATCTAGATGTTCTTGGAATGGATTATGCATGAACTGACCAACCATACTGACTGCAAAGGCAATATCTGGCCTTGTATGTGCCAGATAAATCAACCTTCCCACCAATCTTTGATATTGGTGAATATTAACTGGTACTCCTTCTTTGACATTTCCTAACTTTTGATTAGGGTCAATTGGAGTATCTATTGGTCTGCAGGCACTCATACCTGTTTCATGAAGTAGGTCTAGTACATACTTCCTTTGGGATACCACAATTCCCTTCTTTGATCTGGCTATCTCCATGCCAAGAAAATACTTCAATTCTCCCAGGTCTTTGATTTCAAATTCCTGAGCAAGCTTCTTCTTCATGTCTTCAATCTCTTCACAATAGTTCCCTGTAAGAATTATATCATCCACATAAACAATTAGTACTGCAATTTCTCCCTTAATGGAGAATTTCATGAATAGTGTATGGTTTGCTTGGGCTTGCTTGAATCCCTGCTTCTTTATGAATTGAGTAAACCTTTCAAACCAAGCCCTTGGGGACTGTTTAAGCCCATATAAGGCTTTCTCTAGCTTGCACACCTTTGAGCCATATTGTTCCTCAAACCCAGGAGGGGGGCTCATGTATACTTCCTCCTCAAGCTTCCCATTTAGGAAAGCATTCTTCACATCTAACTGTTGAAGAGGCCAGTCTAGGTTAGTAGCTAGAGATAGTAGGATCCTTATAGTATTTAATTTTGCAACTGGTGCAAAAGTTTCTGTATAATCTATGCCATAGGTTTGTGTGTATCCTTTGGCAACCAATCTGGCCTTATATCTTTCAAGTGTACCATCTGCCTTGAATTTAGGGGTAAACACCCATTTGCATCCAACCATTGGTTTGTTTTTGGGTACCTCTACAGTCTGCCATGTCTGATTCTTTTCAAGGGCATTCATTTCTTCTAAAACAGCCTTCTTCCACTCAGGTATAGATAGGGCTTCCTGTATGGTTAAGGGAATAGAAACAGTGGAAAGGCTAGAGGTAAAGGCTGCAAATGATGTAGATAACTGAGAATAGGACAGATAGTTTGAGATAGGGTATTTAACACATGACCTTTTTTCTTTTCTGAGAGCAATGGGTAGATTTAGATCACTGAAATTATTACCTTTGTCATTTTCTGGCATTGAGTCAGATTCATGGACAGTGGCAGGATCAGGGATGTCCTCTATTCTGTGATTTGGAACTCTCCTTTCATAAACCTTGCCAAAAAACTTACTTGTCTGCTGTTCATCATCTTTCCTTGTTTCAGAAAATTTTTTTCCATTTTCTTTTGACTCTTGACTATTTTCTAGTGCATCTAACTGTCTATTATACTGTGCATCTAGATTAATGTCAAGAGGTTCTAGTTTTTCATGGATATGTGATACATTATTACCATCTTCATTAGGAATCTCCCCTTGAAGATGAGTACCAAAAAAAGGTTGATCTTCTACAAAAACAGTGTTCATAGTTATAAACATCTTTTTTGTTATAGGGTCAAAACATTTATAGCCTTTCTGAGTTGAAGAGAGTCCTAAGAAAACACATTTTTTCCCTCTAGGGTCAAATTTACTTGCAGTTCTGTCAGGATTGGTAATAAAAACTGTGCACCCAAAAATGTTTATGGGAAGAGAATTAATTAGTCTAGTTTCAGGAAAACAAGCTTGAAGAGTATCAATAGGAGTTTTGAATCCTAGAGTTTTTTATGGCATCCTATTAATTAGATAGGTAGCATGTAAAACAGCTTCTCCCCATAAATATTTTGGAATTTTAGCAGAAAACATAATTGCCCGAGTGACTTCAAGTAAATGTCTATTTTTCCTCTCAGCTATTCCATTCTGAGCAGGTGTATTTACACAGGAACTTTGATGAATAATCCCTTTTTCAGCAAAAAAAGTATTTAACTTCTTAGAAAAGTACTCAAGTCCATTATCACTTCTCACAATTTTGATATTAGTGTTGAATTGAGTTTGGATCATTGAGTAAAATTGTTTGAACACCTCTTCAATCTCAGATTTTTCTTTAAGTAAAAACACCCATGTGACCCTTGTGTGATCATCTATGATAGTTACAAACCACCTTTTTCCTTTCAGAGTTGAAACTCTAGATGCACCCTAGATATCACTGTGTACAATAGTGAAAGGACTAGTTGGTTTGTAACTATGAGGGATGTAAGAACTCCTATGATGTTTGGCAAGTGCACACATATCACAATGAAATGATGAAGGATTTTTATTAAGAAATAACTTAGGAAACAACATTTTCAGATAGGAAAAACTTGGGTGACCTAATCTATAGTGCATTAAATACACTTCATTGTTACAAGGAAAGAAAACAGTTTGCAAACAAGTTTTTTCTTGACCTTGTTTATTCAATTGTGTTCCTTCATCAAAAGTATAGAGGCCATCCTCCTCTCTAGCACTGCCAATCATCTTCCCTGATGCTAGATCCTGAAAAATGCAATAAGAGGGGAAAAATTTTACACAACACTGAAGATCTTTAGTAATTTTGCTAATAGAGATAAGATTGCAGGAAAGTTTAGGAACATGTAAGACTTTGGAAAGGTTAATGGATGAGGAAATTTTAATATTTCCCATCCCTGCTATGGCTGAAAAAGAGCCATCTGCAACTCTAACTTTCTTATCTCCTGCACAAGGTTGATAAGAAGAAAAAAACTTTGGAATGTAGGTCATGTGGTCTGTTGCACCTGAGTGAATGACCCAGGTGTTTTTAGGTTTTTCAGAACAAAAATATGATGTTATTTTACCATTTTGGGCAAAAGAACAGGTAGGGTTTTCTTGGTTGGAGATTTTCTGGGTGGGTATGAATTTGAGTAGGTACTCTATCTGTTCCTGAGTGAATGGTAGCTGTTTAGGTTCAACTCCTGCCTCTTGTTGAGTCTCAGTCACAGTAGTTTGTAGGGCCCTTTCTACTTTCTTCTTCCCAGCTCCTGGTGGTTTTCCATGGAGTTTCCAGCATGTATCCCTTGTATGCCACAGTTTCTTGCAGTGATCACACCAAGGTTTTTTCTTGTTGTCATCACTTCTGGCCACCAAAGCTGAAGATTCCCCAGGTTCCTCATTAGGTACTGGAGTGTTGTACATGACCTTCTTCCTGCTATCCTCCATCCTGATTTCAGAAAATACCTCCCTGATAGAGGGTGGAGGTTTTTTTCTAAGTATCCTCCCCTTAACTTCATCTAGGTCCCTATTGATCCCTGCTAGAAACATATAGACCCTATCATTCTCTTCTTTTTTCTTATGTCTGGCCAGATCCTTAGCACTCTCCCACTCTTCATCATCATAGCATTGATCTCATTCTTGCCACAGAGATACCATTTCATTGTAGTATGAAATAATATCCCTATTTCCTTGTTTAGATTGCCACAGTTTGGTTTTGAGTTCAAAAATTTGAGAAGAGTTCTCAAGATCTGAATAAGTTTCCTTAATAGAATCCCATACCTCCTTTGCAGTTTTCATAAACATATGAGGTTTGGCAATTAAGGGCTCCATGGAGTTGAGAAGCCAAGCTGTTATGAGTGAATTCTCTGACCTCCATGTACTGTACCCTTCTTCTGCAGGTAGTTTTGGTTGGATTTCTCCTATGATGTAACCCAGCTTTCCCCTCCCATCAATTGCAAGTCTGACAGATTGAGACCACTCCAGATAGTTTGTTCCATTCAATCTATGACTAGTGATTATCATAGATGAATGAATAGGAGACTGGTAATTTGTCATAGAGCTAATTTGGGAGTTAGGGTTGATAGTGTGTGAGGAATCAGCCTCACTGGTTTCTACCATTGTTTAAACCGAGGCTCTGATACCATGTAGGTTTGAAGAATTAATCTTCCATGTATTATTGAGCCATCCGGCAATGATATATATACAAGATTACAGATAAACTAAGGTTTGTTACAGATCCTAAATATTAGGATCTATCTATTCTTATCTACACTGCGAGCTAATCTAAGAGTTAGAGCCCCAAATCAACTCTAATTCCTATCTATACAGTTCCGGATGTACACATAATAAAATAACATGTATATGCTACATTTTTCTACATTTAGCATTGGACTTAACAAAATATAGGGTTTCGGAGTGCAACCATTTGCGGATCCGGCTTCAATGAGCCTTCAGTTGACAGATATAATTTCAATTAAAGTGCAGGCTGTATAAGACTTGCACAGACACACATAATATGACTAAATTATTGAATTTATTTAGGCATTTAGCATTTTCTTTTTAATAGCACAGGACCGGGTAATCACAGATTATTCGTTTGTTATTGGTCCTAATGGATGCTCACCTTTTAGTAGCTACTAAGTACTGCCTTAAATACTTAGAATGGAAGAAGTTCTTTTTTTCGGTGCCTGTACCAAAGGATCTCAATACGCATGAAGGGATGTTTTACTTGGTTTAATCTAATACTACCTCCGGTCCCAAATGAACTTCACACTTTCCTTTTCGTTAAGTTTTTAATATATATTTATCCTTAAACCCTTACTTTATTACCTACTTTACACCCACTTTCTCTCTCCCACTACACCTAATCTACTTTTTGTAGGGGTATGATGGGAAAGTCAAAAGCAAAAATTTCACTTTCTTAAAAACGTAAAGCCAAAGTCTGAAGGTTATTTTGGGACCGGAGGGAGTAGATGATACTGAACCCAATTCCTTTGTGCTATACATTAATAAATCATGATGCTATCAGGGCATCTTTTGGTTGGAGATCAATCATCCTATAGATTACACTGAGCACAATGCTTACTTATCTTCATTGCAATTATGGGTGGTACACTGGTACCCCTTTTGGTACCTTTCAATTTAATTTTATCTATGTATCAAATTAGTAGTAGTTTTCCATCATTCGCAATGGAGCCAAAGATTCATTATTTTTTGGCTTGAGATTATGATGAAATAAAGCAAAATGGCTCACTAAACTGTCTGCGCTTCTTTGTTATGAAGCAAGTTAGTCCATGCAATTTTGGACGGGATTTTCACTATGGGTCATCCGGAAGCAGTCTCTCTGTGCTTTAGTACAGGGGTAAGACTGCGTACATCTGATCCCTTTACCCCACCGTAGGTGGGAGCCTTTGCGGCATTGGGGTAAATGAAAATGATCAAATTAGTAGTAGTAGTAATTTTGAAATTTAAATAATTAATTAGCCATATGTTACAATATACTTCTTTATCTTTGATGAATTATGCCTCTTGGTTTTTGAGCTGTTTTAAGGGTTTTTTGAGCTGTTTTAAGGGTCAGTTGTAAAGAGTGAAAAAGTGGGAGAAGGAGATTCAGGAAAACCTGAATACTTTTGAAAAGTAGGACAGCTTAGATGAAAAGCTGAAAAGGTAATGACATTTATGTCATTCGCCAAGCCTACGTTTACCAGAAAAGGGAAAGAGGGACCATATATATAGATATTTCCTTGCAAGGAATGTGATACAACCAATGAAGATGAAGAGTGTTCGTATTTAAGAATGAGGAAGGAATATAGTTTTCTTTAACTATGCCCCACTCAGTCTCATGTTTTTGTTACCAGACATGCCTATATTTAGCTTATTTTCACATTCTATATTTATAATTGATATTCAATTTTTATTTTTGTTTCCACCCTCTAGAATGCGTTGCGGCAACAGAAATTTGTCCGTGAAGTCACAATTCAATACAATCTATGCAATGAGCCCTGGTAAGATTGCTTTTACATTCTACCCAATTTTAGTGCTGCACCCTTTATTTGATATGCAACAATACTTGTTACCATCCATAGGTGTGCTTATATTATTGCTCCTTGACATTTTCTTCACTTAGTGTCTCGTACTGGTGCCAATGAAGTATACTATTTCGGTCCACTTATTCATATTTAGTTCTCGTGCTATTTTCTAGGCTCAAGTACAGCATAAGTGTTGTTGCTGATAAAGGTTTGAAGAAACCGCTTTTCACATCTGCACGTCTGAAAAAGGGAGAAGTGCTATATTTAGAAACCCATACCCGCAGGTATTGTCATGAATTTTGACTGTTTTCTAATATTGGTATAATTTTGGATCTCTTTGTTTGAAACTATTTTTTCTGGAAGACAGCTTTAAGAATAACGCATGTATGCTATGTTAAGATACGCTGACACTCTTGAATGTAGTAGTGCACTAATGGTTCAGCAATAGAAAATTCCCTTTCAGTCCCATAAAAAGTTACATCTTAAAAGTAAAAAGGAGTCACATTTGATCAAATGAAGATATTCCGTGAAAAACATTTTCGATTAGAGCAATGAACTCTATCATTTTTAGACTTATTGCAGATGCACATTGCCAAATACTACATAAAAAAGTGTAACTTGTCAAACATGGCTCTTTTTTATAGGACAGAGACCTCACGTAGGTAGTACTACATTTTGTTGTACTTTAGTTATTTATAGTATACTATTCTTAACTGTCAATGTCAAAGAGCTTTTAGTTATTCATCAACTTTATGTAGTTACAAACATAATATAACGTAGACATAGAAGATCATGTCTGTTTCAATATCAGTGATGTCGGCTATAGAGGCGGACGCTGCAGCAGCGTTTTTTTGCTCTCACTTCTCTCTGTCAGCTACAGTTAGGGTTTACGCTTGTAAATTTTGATTGCAGATGTAGAAGGGTAAAGTAGACTTTAAAAATAAATAATAACCAACTTAAAACCCTTATATGTACGTAGAACCCATAAAACCAACTCCACATTTTGAAAATACTATGTATGTCCTCTCTTCTCTGCTCGAGTGTTGTGATGACCTCTCCTTCATCTTCTTCAAGAACGACCTTTGCTCCCTTTTCTTCAAGAACAGCTTTTGCTCCATTTTCTTCAAGAATGACCTTTTCTCCTTCATTTTCTTCAAGAACGACCTTCACTCCTTCATTTTCTTCAAGAACGACCTGTGCTCCTTGACTCCTTCATCTTCTACGATTGCGATAGTAGTGAAAATGACAAAGAAGATGAGATAGAGTTGAAAGAACATGAATTTGATGATAGTGATGAATGATGAATTTAGAAGGCTTGGAAGCTGGATCTAAATTTTATGACTGTTAATTTATCAAGGCTTAAACTAGAAACTTGTATTTTATTCAATGTCTTGACTTGTGATGTTTTAATCATTAATAGCATCACATGTTTTGCTCATGAAACTAAGGGATATTTCTCAGTAATTAAGGATTAATGAATGTTAAGATGTTTGCGAATTTCAGTGACATGTATCATATTCTTTGAATTCAAAATGAATAGGTAATGTAATTATATACCTCTAGATACTTATCTATTACTACCTCTGTCCCATAATGTAAGATACATGTGTGTTTTGCACATGTTTTAAGAAAATATAAGATGCAATGCTTGTTTTACAATTCTAACTTCCAAAAAGTAAGAAAAAAGAAGATTGGTCCACAAAAAGTAAAAGGTGATATGATAGATAAAGGGATAAAATGGGAAAGTAAAAAGTTAGTGGAGTTAAATTTAGAGAAGTGTTCATATTTTTTAGGACAACCCAAAAAGGGAAGTGCATCTTACAAAATGGGATGGAGGGAGTATATTTGAAAGTAGTCTATATAGCGGTCGTCCCGCTATCCGCTATACCGTTATAGCATTTTTCAGGGCTGGCTGCTACGCTCGGCTATCTGGGATTGACAACACTATTATGTCATACTTCCCATCGTTTTTTCCTTTAATAGTTTATATTTGCAAATTTGCATGCTTCCAAGTGAGAAATTGGAAAACAATAGGTTGTAAAGTTGTGGACTCTTCATTGTTTTTAAAATTTTAAGGTATTGAATGAATCATCAATGATGTAATCTGGATAGCGGATATTGTCTCTTCTGTTTATGGGGCTATTTTTATTTCTGTAAAGGTATGAGCTATGCTTTCAAGGAGAAAAGATGGTAAAAGCTACAGGTGGGACTCATGCACATGAAGTCGAAACTGAGAAACATCATCATAATCATCACTCCACCAGCACCTCTGTAAACGGTGACAAAAATGTGGTGGCGGATGGTGAAAATGTGATTGTTGATGTGTTCCGTTGGTCCCGCTGCAAGAAGCCTCTTCCCCAAAAAATGATGCGATCCTTGGGAATACCTTTGCCCCTTGACCATGTCGAGGTACTCCTCTCTACTCCAATGCTCTTTTTTACTCACTTGATCTATCTCATTTGGATAGACTCAATTCTCTGGAATCATATAATTTGCTCATGCTTGGAATCAAAATTCTTGGTAGTTTCCCAATTCATATCAATTCGCCATTTTCTAGATTTGACTCATCACATACTTTCACACGTGCATTAATTCATTAGATTGCATACAATGCTAGATCGTGGCTGTTTTGGACACATTCTTTTCTAATATCTTTGTATTGCATCTGGATTCATTCAAATGAGGTAAAATGAGGACTTATTTAGGTCTTAAGACGGATGAGATCCTCTATTCCATTTTTTTATGGATCTCGATTTCATTCAAATGAAAACAATTGAATGAATATGTGGGTGAGATCCTCTTTTACAAAAATGATTTCCTTCTTGCATCCCAACTGTTGTTGGGTTACTGCTACAGCAGTGTTTGCATTAAGAAGTGATTTTTTAGAGATATCTTTTATTATTAGAGCAGCCCAGTACACGAAGGTATCCCCGCAAGACGAGGGTCCGGGTAAGGGTCCACCACAAGGGTATATGAGGGGCAAACCTTCCCCTGTCAAATTTTTGACAAGAGGCCGCTCCCAAGACGTGAACCCGTTAAAAAAACAGCTCGTTAAAATATAGGGAGTATTCACAATTTTTTTTTGCAATCACTATAACCAATGTATAGTATCTGTTCGACAATAATGTCTAGCTTAACTTGGATGAGGTTCAAAGTTGAGACCTCCACTTTGGAACGCACGACAATGGAAAACAATTTTAAGCATCCTCCCGTTCACCGCTTTTATCTTTGAAGTTAAGCAGAAGCAACAACTTAAAAAAGTAGGGGGTTTATCTTTTAAAATAATGCACAAAGGTGGTTTTGAACATCTCCTGCAAACACTCATGTCTATTTAGTAATTCTTGGATGATCTCATCCCAACTGTGATGCATCATCATCATCATCAGCATCTTGGTAACTAAGAGTAATGTGATGGAATTCCAAAACTGGCCTATATGGTTCTTTTTCCCTTGAATAAAACATATAATGAGATGAACATAAGTTGAGAAACTCCAAAGGACTGGTGTTACATGTTACATGATGAAGCACCTTACAAAACACAAAGCAAAAAGTATTTGAACTTGCCGAGAACTGTAATACTTCGTCAATTTGAGTCGTAACTCACAATATGGTCAACTTTTTATTTGTTAATTGACAGTGTGGGCCTTTTCATTTTGATGGCACTTTTGTGAATGATAATTGGGCAGGTTTTGGAGGAAAATCTGGAGTGGGAGGACATTCAGTGGTCGCAAACAGGTGTTTGGGTTGCAGGAAAAGAATATGCTCTCGCTAGAGCTCATTTTCTTTCACCAAATTAGTACAAGTTATTGTGATTTGCTGATAAAAAAGTGTAAGCTTGATAGTGTTGTTTGTCAAAGTTCTTAGACTGAAACTGAGTAATGAACATGGGGTAATTTTAGAGTAAAATGTTAAAATGAATATGCTCTGGTTTGTGTTTTTTTAAATGGAAATTTTATTTGTTAATTTTTTTGCTGTTTAATGTTATTCACTTTTTCATACAGGCGCAACTTTTTAGTCGTTTTTCATTATGTTTTTTTTTTGCTCTCAAATGATGTTGTTACTTGGAATTATTTTAGTCCCGGATAGACCAGACCAGGCCAAGCTTTGACAGTTATGAAATACACAGAGACCAAACTTAATGAGATATCTAGAAAATTTCAGCTCAATTAAAAACATCCTTGTTCTAACTCTGTCCTGAAATTTTGTATTTGAATAGTTCTTATTTAAGGAAATAATTTTGACCTTTCAACCGAAGGTGAATACAGTGTGGCCCTAATGCTCCCTATAGTCCTACATAGTCATTATTGTTTGAGCAGTTTGGGTATGGGACTGGCCCCGGAGCTAGGGATGGACCTAGGCTTGGACTCAGGCTAGTTCGGGCCCGGGCCTAGGCCGCTCGGGCCTCCGGTTTGTAAATGATGGCCCGGGACCGGCCCGAGGTAAAGACGGTTCCGGTTTGGGCCGGGTCACTTGCCCGAGTCACGGGTCGGGCCACCTGCCGGGCCGGGTCGGGCTAGGTAAATCCATTTTTTTACTTATTTATTCTTTATAGTTTTATAGAAGTATTAAAAACAAACTTCAAGTGCATTTATTTGAAATGAGATAGGAATTAAATTTGACAATTGAGAAAAAAATACAATATGAAATACATTTTGTAATCAAACGGAATTTTCTGGTTCTTCGGTTTTGTCACATGACTTAATATGCTTCTTGGCCATCTCGTATCCGCGTGAAACCCCCAAGCTATATTTTTTCTTGCACCATTTGCAAGTTGCGTACCACATCCCGGTCCTCGGGTCCTTCTGTGTATAAAAATTATACGTGATAACGACATATTGACTTTCCATCTTAAAAATGGTAGATATAATAATTCCATAAATACTAGAAAGTTAGAATAAATTTAGAACATGACATGCACATCGTTGATTAGGGGTGGACTCGGGTTCGGCCCGGCTCCGGGCCGGCGGTTCAAGAGTGGTGGACCTGGGACCGGCCCGGGTAACCACCGGGTCCGGTCCGGGCCCATTATCAATTTTTTTTCCCTCTTCCTAATTAACCTCCCTCCCACCCCCAACCCCCCAAACCACCCCAAATGGCCCAAAATACCCAGCCCAACCCGAAAATTAAAAAAAAAATAAAAAAAAAAATCAAATTTGGCCCGAACCGGGCCCGAGTCCGGACGGGTCGAGCCTTGTTTTGGGTGACCCAGGCCCGGACCGGAAAACCCACGGGTCGGGACTACCCGGACCGGTCACTGACCGGGCCACCGGGTCATTGACCGGGCCTACCTGGACCGGTCAACGACGTTGATGAGAAAATCTACCCATCAAAGAAGTAGCATCACACAATTCACGCAATCTAGGAATAACAGCAGTATTATTAGTGGCATTATCAAAACCAATAGCAAACACCGTATTATTCAAATTATACTCAATTAAAATACGCTCAATCAAAATATAAATATGTTCAGCGGTGTGACGATCATTAAATTCACGAAAAGGAAGAACACATTTATGCATATTCCAATCATTATCAATATAATGTGCAGTCAGACCCAAATAATGTAAATTATGATAAGTATCCTCTCATATGTCAGAACATACAGTAACACGCTCATCAAAGTTTGCAAAATAATTTTGTAACCTTACCTTTCCGCACCATAAAGCCTTAAAATTTCTTTCTTAACCGTTTTGCGACTATAAACTCTATATTGAGGATTTAAACAAGTTTGTGCATAATCTTTGAAAGCAAGACTTTCAGAAAACAAATAAGGCAAATTTTCTTCAACAAGTAAGTTAGTCATACCAGTCAAATTTTGTGCATCGTTGTATGAGAAATTACCAAAAGGTTGTTGGTTATTAGCAAACCTCGATATTTGAGTTTGCTTCCCCTTCCGCCGCCTAATTTTGCATACTCCACCGTGTGTTTGGACTTATGATGCCTTGCGGCGGATCTGTATCCATCGGAAATCCCCAAGCTATAATTTTTCTTGCACCACTTGCAAGTTGCGTTCCAATTCCCGATGTTCGGGTTCTTCCACTTATCAAAATTATTAAGCATTAGTTCAGATTTACTTTTTTTCGTACCGGTTTGAGATGAGACAGGCTCGTCGGCGTCCTGGTTGTCGCCACCCTCCTCCTCGTCGGCGTCGTGGCTCTCTGGAATTACTTCCTCCACATCGTCGTCCTCGAGCTCTTCTTCGTCAATGGTCCTCGACTGGTCTTGGAAAAACCGACTATTATGTCGGTGCAATTCTTGTTCTAGTTGTTCGTCGGTCATCGCATCCCAATCTCCCCTTGCATAACCTGTATCAAAATCATCTCGTCTTTGAGAATTGAGATGAAGAGCCGATGTGTGATTTACCTTTGCGGGATCTCTTCCTGGCAAGCTCGTTCGTTCGGTTGCGGTCGAGGTTACCCATATCAACCGAATAGCTACCACCTTCCATCTTGGAGATAATTAATATATAACTATATATTAACCAAATAGATAATTAATATATAACTATATAAGTAGATAAGAAATATAATATACGTATTTATAAGTAGATAAATAATACTCCCTCCGGTCCTAAATAAACTTCACACTTTGAGTTCACACAAATTTAGAAAATAAATTTGACTTTACTATAGAGTACACTGTTGTGACACTGTTTGGCACTGTTTTGCACTATTTTGATGTAGATTATTTGCCAAATAAGGAAGGGAGAAGAAGTGTGAAGTTTATTTTGGACCTACCCAAAAAGGAAAGTGTGAAGTTTATTTAGAACCGAAGGGAGTATAAGTAGATATATAAATATATAATATATTGGAGAATAAGAGAATTTGAGAAGATGAAGATGAAGATAATTAGAGAGTAGAGAGTAGGATTTAGGAAGAGTTGGAGAAGAGATATGGAAAAATGTTTAATATTAGGAGTATTTATAGTTTTTTTTACCCCACCCCCACCCTCCCCTCACCCCCAAACTGCCCAGACCCCCTGTCAGCCCACCCAACGACTATATAGCCATTTGGGTAGTCCCCAGCCCACCCCCAACGGTTCTATTGGCCCAAAAACAAAAACAAATTATAATCTAGCCGTTGTGACCCGGACCCGGGCCCGACCCGGTCGGGTCGGCTCACGTTTTGCCGGAACCGAGCCCGCCCCCCGCTGCCCCCTCCCCCCGGTTCGGATCTACACCCGGTCCCGGACCATCAGACCGGACTGGGACACGGGCAGGGTGGCCCGAACCGAATCCACCCCTAGATGGACCCAACCGGTTCGAACCGGCCCGTTACCATGCGAGCCCGGACTGGGCCCTGATGACCGGTTCCGGGCTTTAGCCCGGTTGGGCAGGTCTGGCGGGCCGGGTTTCATGTTTTTTTTTTCAATTTTTTTCTTTTCCTTGGATAGGGCTGGGTGTTTGGGGGGGTGATTGGGGGGTGGGGTGAGGGAGGGGGGTCGGGGGTTAATTACAAAGCCAAATAAAAAAAATTACCTTGAATCGGGCCCGGGTCGGCCCGACACGGTTTGGCCTGAACCCGATATCAACCCGGGCCGGTTCCGGGCCCAACATCCTGGAAAAAAGCCCGACTTGAACCGACCCGGGCCCGGTCCATGCCTACCCGGAGCCCTTGTTTGTGGGACGAGGCAACCATCCGCGGGGAGACATTGAAGCCTCATCCAACGACTCTTAGGACTTACAGCAGTGGTTCAAAACAAAATTTCCTATAAACATATCTTATTTTTATCATGATTCTTATACCTTTCTAGTCTTCGATTTTCTTATCTTCACCAATTTTTCTCTATTATGTTCTCATATTCGTTAATATTCCTCACCAGTATATATTTATATATATGAAAAGCTACGGAATAGGAATAAAACCGTTTTGAATTTTTAAAGGAGTATTATATTTTGTATTCTATTAAACCTAACAACTACAACGGTTGGATTTCAGATTTTTTTTAGATTTAATCTCTGGATTATTGATATAACAAGAAACATAATAGAAAATAAATTTTTTGATTTATTTTGATACCACACCGTTATTGTTTTAAGCCTAATATATACTCCCTCCGGTCCTTAATTAACTTTACACTTTCCTTTTTGAGTCGTCTCATATTAAACTTTACACTTCCTTATTTGCCTTATTTGACAAACAAATCTACACCAAACAGTGTCAAACAGTGTCAAACAGTGTACTCTACAGTAAAGTCAAATTTATTTCCTTAATATGTGTGAAGTCAAAGTGTAAACTTCTTTAAGGACCGGAGGGAGTATTCGATATTTCAATAATGAGTTGAGCCAAACTCAAATTGTTCAATTCGCCCATGCCATATTGATGAATTGATGAATGATCTTTTCAGTTGGATTGATTTTAGTTTCAACAAAATTCTATGGAACTTAAATAAATCAGATTAGATTTTTTAACACTCAAAAAAACCTACACAGTCATACGTAAAAGTGTGTACACATAAAAAAATCTGCATAGATATATGTGTAAAAGTGTGTACACGTGTACACCAAATCGAAGTGATGCAAAAATAGGGTAACATAGGCGTCACGTCTGTCACCTCAAAAATAGTTATAGTTGCTGGTGAAGTTCACGTTCCTCTATTTTTTGTCCAAACATAACCTGCTATGATTATTATCATTATGACTATGAGAATCAAATGAATGTACGTATACCGATCTTCACAATTTTAGAATTAAAAGAAATTGTTGGGTAGGGGAGTCGGTAAGGTATTATACCGGTATACCACGGTATTTGAAAACATTTATCGTTATCGTACCGAAATAAATCAGTACGGTATGATACCGTACCAAAATAAATCGGTACGGTATGATACCGTACCGAAAATGACGGTATACCAATATTCCAGTATTTTCCAGTATTTTTTGGTACGATAAGTGCGGTATACCGATTTTCCGGTATTTTTGCCCACCCCTAATTCCAAGGACCTTTTAGATAATCGTAAATTATACATAAATCTAGTATCTATCATTTCAAAAAAAATTGTTCAATTAAAACATCCAAATTAACAAGTATACTGTAGTATTTGAATCATGACATAACTTAGTATCTTATTAGTCCAATATCAATTTGTCATATACTCATATCTTTTTATGGTTCTGATAAAAATTAACTTATGGTTGAGTCCATTTTCTGATAGAGGCTTGTGTTTCATTTCTTAACATAGTAGTCCATGTGCTTTAATTCCGTCCATGTACTTTAATTCCGTCATCAGTGGAGGGGTCCAGTGTCTACCTTTAGAAATCGTCAGAGGAAGAAGCGATAGTTCTGATTTTCAAAAGTGCCAACAAATTCAAAAGAAAAATATTAGGAGGTGCGGCTCGTTAAGACGACCTCCAAACTATCTTTGTTTTTGGATTCTCTTGGCTCTATTTGGGTGTTTTTTAAAATGATTTTGCTAAGATCACTTTTCGGACGGGCTTTCCGGCGACAAGGGTGGCTAGAAATAAAAAATAAAGATGGTCTGGATGTGCTTTTTCAGGGGCGGGCTTTCCAAGGACCTTAAAGAGATACACCTCCCAGTATTTTTCTTGTAATTTTCTGGACACTTAAAAATCGAAGTCACTGTTCATCGTTTTAACTGCATTAGGCGTCGGCCCCCTCTAATAATAATAAAATTTAACACATGGACTACTTTGTTAAGATAGTCTTTTTCGTTACTGAAAACGGGTCCAACGATTTATACATTTTTGTACTTTTCCCTATAATTTATACCTTAGTTGGTTAACCAAAAAAAGGTTTACCTTAGCTTGTTCAAACCATACTTGGTCTAAAAGGTTGAATGCCCAACCCCAAGCCCCCCCCCCCCCCCCCCCCCCTCCACCCCGACCTGATAGGATGGTGGGGAGGTTAATCACGGTGACTCAGTCAGCAAAGCGGTGGTAGGCCTTATACACGTGCGCACCAGAGGTCCAGCCTTATTTCAGGTTCTGTAACCTCCACACGGCCGCTGCGGATTTCGAACCTTGGCCACTTGGTCCAATTTTCCACCACTCGACCAACTGAGCTACCCGTGCGGGTAAAACTAAGGTATGGGTAAACTTTTTATAGTGACTAGCTACACCGCTTTCACGGCCCCTTACCCCAGAAACCCAACTTTGGCTTGACCCTACGGGTTAGTATACACCGCTTGGCCCTACCACTTGAAGGGTTTTTTGGGGGAGCACAGTACCACTGGTGCTAGTGGGAATCGAACACGAGACCTCTCCTATGCAGGGGTAACCTCACAACCAGCTAGGCTGGAAGTTCTGGTTATAACTAAGGTATGGGTAAACTTTTTATAGTGACTAGCTCCATCGCTTTCACGGACCCTTACCCCAGAAACCCAACTTTGGCTTGGCCCTACGGGTTAGTATACACCGCTTGGCCCTACCACTTGAAGGGTTTTTTGGGGGAGCATAGTACCACTGGTGCTAGTGGGAATCAAACACAAGACCTCTCCTATGTAGGGGTAACCTCACAACCAGCTAGGCTGGAAGTTCTGGTTAAGAAACTAAGGTATGCGTAAACTTTTTATAGTGACTAGCTCCACCGCTTTCACGGCCCCTTACTCCAGAAACCCAACTTTGGCTTGGCCCTACAGGTTAGTATACACCGTTTGGCCCTACCACTTGAAGGGTTATTTGGGGGAGCATAGTACCACTATGGATGGACTCGAGCCGGGTGGCCCGACCCGGAACCGGCCCGGGACCGGTACTGTTCCGGCCCGGTCAGTGACCGGTCCGGGTAGGCCCGACCCGTGGGTTTTCTGGTCCGGGCTCGGGTCACCCAAAACAAGGCCCGACCCGGCCGGGCCCGGGCCCGCTTCGGGCCAAAATTGATTTTTTTACAATTTGTTTTTTAAATTTTCGGGTTGGGCTGGGTCTTTTGGGCCCTTTGGGGTGGTTTGGGGGTTGGGGGTGGGAGGGGGGTTTATTAGGAAGAGGGAAAAAAATTGATAATGGACCCGGCCCGGACCCGGTGGTTACCCAGGTCGGTCCCGGGTCCACCACTCCTGAACCGCCGGCCCGGACCCGAGTCCACCCCTAAGTACCACTGGTGCTAGTGGGATTCGAACACGAGACCTATCCTATGCAAGGGTAACCTCACAACCAGCTGGGCGGAAGTTCTTGGACTGTTGATGGACAAATCAACTCTTCTTACACTCCTATTATTAATGGATATATAGACCCATAAATAAAAGCATACCGTCATGAGAGTTATGTGAAGTGGTTCTTCTTGCCTGGAATGGAATGAATGTATTCGATCTTCACATGTTGCACAGAAAAGTGTAGTCTCCAACCTCTAAATAAATGGATCCACGCCCTTTTTATTGTTATTAAAATAAAATCATATATGTTGGGATTGCTTTTTTCAAAATGCAAGTTGTGTTTCTTGGCGTGATTTAATAGATTTTAGAAATAATACTATTAGATGGACCGATCACTAAATGTCCATACAATAACACAATGGATCATAATGGACTGAGTAGTGATTATACTAGACTCTAAATGAAAAAAATACTCAAAAAAATTAAGAAAAAAATAGGGTGCACGGGACTTCCATAGGCATACTATAGATCCGCCTTGAAATGGATGATTCAAATCAAATGCATTATCATTCCCATCAGTATTATTTTGTTTGTTGTTATAAAATTTATATTGAAAACCTGTACCTTAGTTGTGTTAGCTAAAAAAAGTTGTACCTGATATTAGTATTATTGGTAGGGACAGATTTATTCTTGGGCAGTTGATGGACAAATGAATTCTTCTTACTCTCCTATATATAAACTGCCCGTAGATAAAAGCATACTGCCATGAGACTAATGTGAAGCGTTTCTTCTTTCCTGGAATGGTGAAATTTGAGGGCTTGTTGATGCAGCAGGTGAGTGAGGAGAAAGAGCTTAACAGAAAGGGTAAAAGTCTTGAAGATGAAGAGGTTGAGGAACTAAGACATGAGTTAGATGCACAGATAAAAGTGAGAACTGCCCTTCATGCTGCCCTGCAAGCCCCGGTCAGCTCTCGTCCCAAACTCTCTTCCCTCCCTCCCATGGTATGATCATGTTCTTCTCTAGTATCTATTCAACATCAAAACTTTCCAGTTTTGATCTCATTATCTCATCAGTAGCAGTTTGTCACTTTCACTTTTGTCACTTCTGGTCACTTATTCAATGAAAATCAAGTAGATTGAATTAGTCATCATTAGTTGAAGTTCACAAGGAATCCAAACAGTGCACCAATACTGAGAAAAAATAACTCAGTACTAAAACTAGTCACATTTTTACTAAGGGGTTGTTTACTTTTTTTTTTCATTAAATCCTGTATGGATTAAGATGAACTGTTTGTATTAAGATGTTGTTTGGATTAAGTGATATTCAGATAACAAACTGTTTACTTTGTGTTCTGAATGAGAAGAATGAATTATATTAAATAACCAATTTACCCTTAGGCTTGAAACCTCTTTTTGGTTAATCAATGGAATACCAATTGAAAAAGGCGCCGCTCGAAGCTCTTCTCCATTAATCTGGAGCCATCAGCTTCTCAGGGTTTCTGGAGCCATTTGCTAAGGGAGAAGGAAAGGACTACTGGGAGATGAGGGTGGGTAATTAACAAGAGAAACAAGGGCAAATGAAGGCTTCTTCTAGTTACCTAACCTGCTTTCGTTGGCTCCCATTAGATTTAGATCTTCTATTTCAATTTCAGATTGTATCCAAAAAATTATAGCTATAGGTTTGATTTGGAAGAGGTAAGAAAACGGAAAGATTTATCTTCTTTGCAAAATTGTATGTGGGTCTTTTAACCCTCGATTCATTTGATAAAAAACTCAGCACCAAACATCATCTAGGAAGAAGATATATGGAGAAGGGAAATACGTAGCTCAAGTTGATGCTCAGGTAGATGGAGAAGGGAGAAATAAGAAGCTTACAGCCGCACACTCAGGTCGGAGGTTAGCGATGAAGGGGGTTAAAAGGGAGACTGCACATAAATATGTATGTCTGAACTAATAAGTCAAAAATGGTCTGAGCGAATAAGTCATGTTTTAGAATAAGTCCTAAGTAAACAAGAGTATATATCTGACCGATTAAGTCACAGTTTTCATTAAGTCCATTAAGTCGAAAGTAAACAGCCCCTAAGTTTATTTCAACTTTTGGTTCCTAAGTTTAATCTCAGGGACATTGCCTAAAATAGAAGAAAAAATGTTCTGAAATTCCAAAATAGTACTACCATGTTTTTATTCCCGAAATAGGAGTAATTACAGTCATGTTTTGGCCGTACTAGACTTTAAATATGACAATATTTTCCAAACTTTATAGTAATTACTCATATTTAGGAAATAAAAACATGGCAGTCCTATTTTGGAATTCCAAATCTTTTTTACTCCTATTTCGGGAATTTTCCCATAATCTTATCTACTTTGATGTAGAATATGAACTACTTGCCAGTTCTGATCATCAACGAACACTTAGGCGGATGATAATCAACAAGAAATTGTGTAGAAATGGCCAAATATAAATGTAGAAGTGACGAAGGCCTAAATGGAACAAAAATGACAGTCTTGCACTGAAAGAGAGACAAAAACAAGTAATGAACCAAGATGTGTATAACCTGTTTTTGCAAACCAAGATGTGTATAACTTATGATACAAAAAGTAGAAACTTTTCTCTTCAGAATTTTGTTTTATTTCACCTTTGCTTGTGGGAATTGAAGAACGAAACAAATGCAGGTCCAACAACTCATTGAAGAGGTCATGTACATTGAGGAAGAGATCTTCTGGTTGGAGAGAAAAGTTGAAAACTTGAAACTTAGCCTGTTACGCGAGAAGGCATTGACGAAGGGTCAGGAAAGACGTTATCACCACCGAAGGATGTTAATTCCCAGACCCACAGATTCATACCCTACTCAGTCTCATGAAGGAAGTGTAAAGTGCAAAACTAGAAGAAATGGGAGAGGTTCCATCTGTTCACCGGTGGATCTCAGAAGCTCTTCTTCTACAATGTCTAACAATGGTATATTTGACACAATGCAGTATCATTTCACAACCCCCTTTGTGCCTAAATTATTCCCATAGCAACTTTTCATGATCTTTATTATCCAAGTAATGCATATAATAAACTAACACTTCAATAGTACGAGTATAGACTAACACAAAATAATCCAGTAGTATTTTTCATATTAGAGGGTACTACTCTATATGTCTGAAAAAGTTCTTATATATTTTTAAAAGGATATTGTTTATTTCGTTCTATTCATATTACAATCACATAATTTTAATTCTTAATTGAGTTAAAAATAAACTGACAATAAATTTCTTGGGCAATGGTAACATAAACACTCAAGTCTAAGGGGGTGTGTGGCCTTAGGATTGTCAAGATGATATTTTTCTAAGCTATAAAAGGAAACAAGAATCCATAAGCTATAAAAGGAAATCTTACAATTATTGTTAACACTATAGTTTCTAGAAGGATGGTGTACAAGTTTTTTATTGTAATAACTAATAAGCTCAATAACAATGGCTCATTCCTAGGGAGTACAAGACACAATTTAAGTAAAATTAATGTTCCATGATTTGCATGTGAGCTTTGCAATACAGTACAAGTCATCTCACACATATGACAATGGCAAATATTCCAACTCATTGACATCTCATGAGATTTCCATGCACATGGAAATAATCATTGATGATGACAATTTAGTGTTTTCATATCATTGTTCTTTCTGAAGAAGGTTTCCGTATGAAGAGCGTATGACGTAAAATACTTTAGTGACGGGTGTCTAGTATAATGTAGTACTAGTACTACGTATAATTGAGTATAATGTTTGGAGCAAGTGAGTTTACTTCCAAGCAGATAACCTGGGTGACCTAGGTTATGCCCTTCAACAAACCATATGAGAGCTTTGGCATTATGCCCATACTTGATTAAAACTATGTTCTGATTTACTGTTCTAATTGATAATGTGGGAATAGGAGATGTTGGGGAGAGCTCAAGGAGTTCAAGAAGCAGGAGATCCCATACTCAACAAGACCTAAAGACCAGTTCTGAGAAACCTAATAAGCTTTCGGAAGAACTGATAAGATGTCTAGTAAATATCTTACTCAAACTAAACAAGGCATCACTCGAGAGTCGAGGGTCAGCTGTTTTTCGAAAGCATCAGCAGACGCTTTCCAACAAGAAATCCAAAAAATTCATGTCAAGAACCTCATTGAGCTGTACAACATTATGCACCTTTTCCTTCAACGACTATGCTTCAAACCTCGACCCTTATGGGATTTTGCAAGATTCTGATGGCAGTATCACACAGATTGGGTCATACAAGAATTTCATTGAAGTCTCACGAAGCTCACTCGATACCAAGCATATTTCTGAGTGTCTTCCAGAGATGGGAAAATTACGGTTATTTAAATTTATTTTCACTAGTACTTAACTTTGGGATGACTTATAAAGAACAAGTGCTTTTCGTGGGAAGAAGAGTGCTTCTACTTTAAATAAGCATTAGGAAAGGAAATGGGAGACGTGATTTTAATTGTTAAAAGCGTTTTTTGTGCTTGTTTTAGAGAAGTACTTTAAGTGTTTAAATGAAAAAACACTTCTTATATAAGGATCACAAGTCATCCCCGAACAGGCTCAAAGAGTGCATCTGGGGTGTACCTTACTCGCAAAAGAATAAATACATTTCATGAAAGAAAAGTACTTTTGCTTGGGGGGGGGGGGGGGGGGGGGGGGGGGGGTAGCCGTGATTGGTGTACACACACAAACAACTCTGTGTGCGTAAGACAGACAAGTGTACGAAAGGTGAACACAAAAGACGGAGCAACTTCTAATAAGAGCACTTGTAGCACAAATCATTATTTTTCATAGAATAAGTGCTTGTTAGTGAAAGAAAGTACTTTTACTTAAAAAAAGAAGAAGAATGTGACAGGCTTTTCCACTAAAAGGAGCACTTTTAAGGCTTATTCAAGTATCATCGGAATCAAGTTGTAAAGAAACTACATTTTTTCCTTTCCAGGATTTTGCTTCATAAACTCAAAAATGTGGATTTGTCTTACTTGACAAACAAGCAGAAGTTAGCATTCTGGATTAACATCTACAATGCCTGCATAATGCATGTACTGTAAGATATATATCAATACTTCCACAGAAACCAAAGATGCATAAAGAGAGAATAATAAATGCAATCTCTCTTCTATTCAGGTGTTTCTGCAGCACGGTTTACCTTTATCAGGGGAAGATCAAGTGGCATTTATGAACAAGGTATCGAGCTTTCTATTTCAAACTCATATTCAGCCAAGTTATGGCATTTAAATCAAAAGAAGGCATAATGTACTTGTGTACTGTTAAATGTATTTGTAAATGTCTTTAAATCAGAGATGCATTAAATCATAATGCTCAGAACTCATAATGGTTCTTACATTTTCATTTTTTCTGGCAAAGGCTGCAATAAATGTAGGTGGAATTATATTAAATGCATTGGCCATTGAGCATTTCATCCTTAGGCATCCATCTGACAGTGAATATGTGAGTAAACCGGTCTCCCAATGAACACATAGTTCTTAGCTCTATGAACATGATTGACAACATTAACTTTAATTCATAAGGACCTGAAAGATGAGAAGGGAATCATGCTAAGGAGTGTATATGGCCTGGGTTACCCAGAACCAAACATCACTTTTGCACTTTGCCGGGGCAGCTGGTCATCACCAGCAGTAAGTACTTGCCTTTCACAAGAATTGCTCCCTTTGGTCCTTGATATAAGTCATTTTTGATAAATTACACAAACTAACTTAAGGACTCCAATGTGCACCATACTACCCTCATTAATGAACAACACGAGCAAACAAATATGTAGTTTTCAATAAGATCAAATGGTGAAAATTACTTATTATTTATCAATACATGTAAATAGAAACTCTTTATCAATACCTTCTAAATTATGACTTATATTAAGGACTAGGGAGCGTATTCAGAAGGTTAACTAAGATGTATGAGATTCCATAGAATGAACATTTACACATTTGGGGGTTCCAGCTGAGGATTTATACGCATGACGTTGTGAATGAATTGGAGAGAGCAAAAGTTGAGTATTTGGAGGCTTCAGTTGGAGTTTCGAGCAGCAAGAAGAAGATAATGGTTCCCAAGCTGATGCGGTGGCATATGAGAGATTTTGCAGATGACATGGAGTCACTAATAGAATGGATTTACAGCCAATTACCACATTCTTGCACACTGAAAGGATTAATAATGGAGTGTCTAGAAGGGGGGAAGAAAACACCATTGGCTAAAATGATTGACATCCAACCCTATGTTTCTGAGTTTCGATATCTCTTGCTTTTATAGATACAGCAAGAAAGCATCATTAAAATAGAGCAGATAATTGTCTCCGTAAATAGAAACTACTCCCTTTGTCCCCCCAAAAATAGTTCTGCTTGTAGTACAAACAACTCTTGTCTAAAATGGATGCAGTTGCAGAAAGAAACCATTTGTAAGCCAAAAATAGACTGAGATGTGAGTAAACACTAAAATGCGAATAGAGCTGGTGATGACCTTAAAAATAGACTGATATGTGAGTAAACTAAAAAATCAGACGGACATCAACAAATGGCAATAACAGTGTTCATTTGTCAAAATTTGTTTAGATTTTTTTCAATTACTATTTGTCCATCACAAAAGGTTGCAACTTATAAAAGAAAGATAAAAGCTCAACAATATTATATTAAGATGCTCAAAATAAAGAAATATCACTTTTTACAAAAAAAAAATGGCAAAACAAAAATGAACTCACAACAATGCTTTTGCTTGTCCTTAGCCATCCAAAGCAGATGTACTGAACAGTGACAAGCCTATATATGATAGTACATGCTTTACTTATATCTGTAAAGAGTTCTCAAGACACATTAGAACTAGGTTTCAACATCTGGTGGGTTCAGCCAAAAAACTCACAACCCTATTCAACAAATTCAGGCCAAAGACTGTTTCCTCACAATTGACTTTTAGCGATGCTGTCAGTGGTTCATGACATTTACCTTCATCGATGGTAATAGTAAGTAAGCACGGGAATGAGTTGCTTAGTATCTCACCACTGAATCTTAACCTTAACCCTGTTACATCATCAAGGTTGGTCCCAACAGGCATATCCACGGATACAAGAAAAAGGCTTGCATTACTAAGGACCTTCAATACCAAAGCCTCACATATTACAACAAAGCTGTCTTTTGTGGCTGGGCCCGCAACTACTTTAAGTTCTTCCATGTGGTCGGTGAATGAACATCTGTTTAAAAGATGGGAGTTAAGATACCTCCAAGTGTAAAGGAGGAAAATACTCCCTTTCTATTAAAAGCGTTTAACATTCCTTTTACGAAAGTTTTCAAATATTCATTCCACCATCCCTTGTAGAAAAAAGGAGCTTATCAAATGACATAAACACTCTTATTTTTTCAAAGTCCTCCAAATTTTTATCATTTCTCCCCCCAGTTTTTTTTTTAATTTTAATATGCTATACAATACTCCTATCGTTTTTACTCTTAATAAATGTGTCAAATCCTAGTGGAACAACTAGAATACTGAGAGATGATTTTCAATTTAGTTTTAAAAGTAAATAAATTCAAAGAGTCTGAAGGATTTAGTTTCCGAGCATTGTACCATCACATTAGTAAAAAGGTGTACCGTGTACATGATGAAACATGACAGTTTTTGGAAAGGAGAGACTATAAAAAATTAATAGTTCTCAAAAGAAACATTAGAATTTCCATAACATAGTAACTATTAACTAACCTCCTTACATACTCAAACATCCCAGGCAGCTGAGACTCCTTACTCAAGAATATTTCAGTGTCTATTGGAAGAGGTCTTACAAAATATCCAATGTCAGGTCTCAACTTCACAGTATGCTTCTTGCCATCACACCATAAAGTGAACTTAAGAGGCAATAGATGATGGTGGAAGTGGACCTCGAGGGTTCTTTTTGAGGTCTGACCAGGCTCCAGGAGAGCAATCACTTCCATAGGGACAGCAGATGACACCTTAGTATGGTCTAAGGAGCTGCACATCAAAATGAATCAGACAGAGAGCTAACAGAGTTTGAAGATTCAAGGAGTAACATAAATCATAAAGATTGTGTGTTTTATGGTCTATTTGGATAGAAGGATTTAGAGGTGATGACTTTGGATGACTTAGTCTATGTCTTGACTCTTGATAAAATGAATAAAAGGTGATGGAAATGGTATCTGATCACATATGATGTTAAATTTTCAATTCTTATAAAATCTCAAGTATTTATATATAGCAAGATATTGATTAAGCTCTCCTGCCCCTCACAAGTCTTCCCCTAAAAACCCTCCATCCAAACAGACCCTTGGAAAACTGATTAATGAAGGAAAGTCATGCTAATGAAAAGAGACATAGCTGTCAGAGTAAATCTCATTACCTAGATGCTACCGTTTGATCTGTAGGTTCTGTACTTCCGTTAGACCCCTCTTCAACCAACAACAAATTTGACATAGGCTCTGTTGAACAATTTTTGAAGCAAAGCTCGACGCAGACAAATACTTGAGGTTTGCTTGAAATCGCCGTTGAAAACATATAATCAACACTCAAGCCACTTCCATTAGCAGGATCGAGCAAGGTATAAGATTTAGGCTTGACTCTGCTACCTATATCTCCAATCGAAATTCTTGCAAATGATTGATGGACATAGCTTATGTCAGATGAATCCTGGACAGATGCAGGATTATCATTCAACCATGACTCTAGAGATCTATTAGACAGCAGTTCACTAACTTCATTGGAATTAGAACAATCAGCACTCTTTCTTGATCTGCCTATTTCATTTCTATGGTCATTGCCAAAGTCTGAAAGGAGAATCAACGGATTGGGATTTTCATCATGATCACTCAATGGATTTGCCCCACTGGCACTAGTTGGAAAATCCTGAGAACTGTAACCTGATACACTTTCATCATCTAATGATCCAGAATCGGAGTTAGGATCATCTTCTTCATATGAATCCCTCTGGGTATCATGCGATGAATGACCACTGGTATCAGTGTAAATTAAACTCTGAGGCTGTGGAAGAGGTTCATATCCAGGAGCTGCATGAAGAACCATATGTGAGAGAGATCCAGGTAGATAAAACTGATAAGTTAAGGGCTCTCCAGCTGCTGATTTTGTCTGTCCCATAAATAAGTGTTCAGCAAGCAAATGCAGTGGGCTTGCAGTTCTTGGTTGGCAGTTTGCTTCATCCATGTCAGGGAGGAGTTTAATTATGAACCGTGAACGATCACGGAGGTCATAATTCAAGTCACATTTGGCTAGTTCCAGAATATAGTTTAAAATTCTTCTAAAGCTCAACATATTTTCGCCCTTTGCACGCAATACAACCTGGAAGTTCAGAAAAGACTGAATAAATTTGCTGTCAATAACTGAAATCATAAATAAAAACAGTCAGATATATCCACATTTTACTGCATAGAACACATTGCAAATAATAGTATTGTCTTCTTTGTACATTGACCAGCACATGTCTGTTCTCAGACTGGGAGAAGAAACACAGTGTTTAATTATTGTGATTTTAATAAATCACAAGTTTCATATATCCTCGATGTGGATTACAATTATCCATGTTTTACCAATTCAGCATCAACCACACACTTGTACTTTTCCTAGATTTTTCTTCCATTTCCCTTTTCCCAAACTTAGTGGGACAGAGGGAGTACATAGTTTGTCAAAACACCTGGTCACTGTAGAACAAGTATTTCCATGTAGAGCAGTAGAGGACAATAATGATGATAATTCAGAAAGCCAACGGATAAAATACTAAATAACTAATAATAATAATGATATAAAAATAATTATAATGATAAAAATATAATAGTGATAAAATAAAATAATACTATCTCCATTCTTAATTAATAGTCCCCTTAGGTATAAAGGTATTTTTATAAGAAAAACTTACTGAAAAGGAAAAGAGGGACAAATAATAAAAAACATCCCAAAAAGGAATAAGGGACAACTAATAAAGAACGGAGAGAGTAATTATTATTATTATTATTATTATTATTATTATTATTATTATTATTATTATAAATGTAAAAAAAAAATAATAATACAACAACAATAATAATAAAAATAATAACAATGATAACAGTAATAAAAATAATACCAATAATAATAATAGTCTTCCATCATTTGCAATGGAGCCAAAGATTCATTATTTTTTGGCTTGAGATTATGATGGAATAAAGCAAAATGGCTCACTAAACTGTCCGCGCTTCTTTGTTATGGAGCAGCAGTCAGTCCATGCAATTTTGGATGCGATTTTCACTATGGGTCATCCGGAAACAGTCTCTCTGTGCTTTAGTACAGGGGTAAGACTGTGTACATCCGACCCCCCTTACCCCACCGTAGGTGGGAACCTTTGCGGCACTTGGGTAAATGAAAATGAATAATAATAATAGTCATAGTTATAATAATAACATTCAAAAATAATAGCAACAACAATAATAAAATAGTATTACCACTTCAAGTAAAAGTTCCATATTGCCCTTCAATTGTAGGCACTTAAAAATAAATAAGTATATGACATTATTCTTCATATGTAGCGGCATTGAGTATGCAGTTGAGTGAGCCACCACTGACATTGAGGTTAATTTGTAGTAATATGATGTTTCCTGACACGGGAAATCATAATTCAGATTTCAGAAGCTTCCAAATTTGCTTTACTGCTTAAGTTCTTACGAGTTTAGGAGTCCTACTGTAAGCAGAATTGAATTTCTCCACAGACATTACCTCATTTATTTTAGTTTAAGTACCCCTCCCATCATTGTGAACTTCATAGTTTCTGTTCATTTTCACTAGAATAAATAGTTAATATAAAACATTTCTCTTTTTCTTGGTTAGTTCTCTTAGTGCTTCTACATTGCAGGGAAACAGTGGCTATTAACCACCCATAGACTGCCACCGTCTAGCATTTGTCATTTAATATGCACATTTGAGGGAAGAGACCAACATACACTGTACAGTCTACTAAGCAAGTGAAAAACATAAGTCCCAAATTTCGGGAGTATTCTGCAATTCAAATTAGAAAAGCAATCACATTTATTAATATGAGAAACAAAAGCAATTTATGCTGACTACCTTGACACAAGCATTAATAATCTGCAGCTTTGTTTCAAGAGCTTCTGAAGTAAAACACCATGCAAGATACTTGAGAACTGTTGATAAAATCATAGGGATAATATGCCCAACGTTGCTATACTCTCCAAATATCCATATGATCGTTGCCCGTGCTTTTGGCACCCGGATGGAATCTAACATTCTAACCAAATGAATAATTACCTGTTCCAAATATTGCAAGTTAGAAAACACGGTGGATATGAAAATATTATCACATATATTTTCACAAGTAGGATAGGTTTGAGTATGTCAATTTCTCAAGACAATTAACAGAAGTAATATTTTCAAATAATAATTATCCATACTAAGAAAGTCATAAATTCTTTAATCGTTAAAGAGATCTTATTTTCCCACCACCAGTAGGCTCTCCCATTTCACTTTAAGAAATGACATTTCCATGGTCGCTTTTGAATCAACTGATCGTTTTTAATTCCGATGGACTAGTAGTAATATCATTTAGTTTGGACTTTAGACCAAAAGCTACTGGTAAATGAGTAAATCATTTGCCACAACAGTTCAAAAGCGGAGAGTGCTGTGGATACTACACAAGATTCATGCATCTTAAAGTTCAAGTTTTTAAGTCCATAATGAAATTGAAAAGTCATCTTCCATCATTTGTAATGGAGCCAAAGACCCACTATTTTTTGGTTTGGGAATATGATGGAATAAAGCGAAATGGTTAACTAAACTGTCTGCGCTTCTTTGTAATGAAGCAGTGTCAGCCCATGCAATTTTCGACGCGATTTTCACTGTGGGTCATCCGGAAACAGTCTCTCTGCGCTTTAGTGCAGGGGTAAGACTGCGTACATCCAACTTCCCTTACCCCGCCGTAGGTGGGAGCCTTTGTGGCACTGGGGTAATGATGATGATGATGAATGAATGAAATTGAAAAGTCATCATAGAAACATAGATTTTAAATGAAAGTACCTTCTCATGGGAAGAAGGATTGTGTTTTATGATAGTCTTGAGAGAATTTATTGCTTGGATCAAAATCAGTTCTTCTCCTTCCAAATGTTCCATTTTAAGGTTTGAGATTTCTGCAGTACCCATAATCGCATGAAAAAGTTCAAGGCAAATATAGCAAAAGTCAAGCTAAAACCAAAGTACATAGCATGAGTTTCCAGTAGAACTACGAAATGAAAAGGGTAACCACCTGATGAAATCAATGTCAATAGCCCCTCCACACATGTGTTGGCTATATTTGGTAGTCGTTGGGCACATAGACCAATTGCAGCAACAGAATCTGCAGCAAATCTTCTGTCTGGATCTCTAACATAATCCTAAAAATGCATAATCTATACACATTGATTTCACAAATTCAACTCCAAGAAGGCAATGTTACCACCATAATATTGGAATATTGCAGAACAAAAAACTTTAGTTTCATCTTCAACATAGGATTATAACATGCAAAACAATAACAAAAAAAGGCTTAGCTCCTCTCCAACTTCCAAGAAGGAGATGAGAAGAAAAAGAAGAAGCATATATTGAGAAAGAGAATACCTGGAACTCTTGAAATATTGAGGGCGTTGATGATTCTGTAGCAATCAGAGATAGTATTTCAAGTTTCAAAAACTTTATCTGATATGAATCTGTAGGGCTTATGAAGAAGTCTTCAAAATGTGACAGAAAGAGAGATGGCATTGTTTTAGCAAACACTTGAATGTTGCAAAGCACCTAAGTTATTAAGCACCATCGTAAAATACCAAGACAAACATACTTCATCTGTAATTAGAATGAGTATAACGACAAATTCTTAAGTGTTCAGTAAGAATTGTTGTGAAGATGAAAATTTTAATTTAAATTGAGTGCCCATACAATCTCATATAGTTGAATCAGGGCCACCTTTGGTAAAACAAATTTCTAAGCCTAAAATACTCATGTCTATGCATGTGCCACATCTGATATTCTGAAGTCTGATCTAATTAATAGAGGTGTTTTCCAGTAAATCTGTAGGAACCACTCTTCTTCTCAATTATAAGGAAATGTGTCAGCCGTTAGGTGACCAACTTTTGCAAATGCAACAATAAAATATTATTCAATCATCCAGCAATATGAAGTACCAATAACTCAAGTGACGATATCATCTGCCAATCTTTCATGACTACAGTAGATTATCATCAACAGCAGCTTAAAGCCTTAAACCCAACTAGTTAGCACTGGCTTTGTAGTGTCAATTAAATGTCTAAATTTAGTTGATATTACAAATTCAAGGACAGAGGTACCCCAACTAATTAATGCTACCATGAAATTTATAGTCAATCAATTGTCTAAATTAGTTTGATATTATAAATTCATGCAAAGAGGTATAGCGGCAAACTTTTATGCCGGGTGCCTTTCATATTGTGGCCTTCTAATGAAGGAATGATGAGATGAAAATCCAAAACCATCATCATCATAGAATATCATGACGTGGGGATATGTCGGGATTGTTGGTTTAAGCATGCTCCATCATAAAATTGACATAGTAAAATAAGCATGAAAATTATGGAAGATTACCAACCGATAATGAAAGCAGATGCAATATTGTAATTCAAATGAGTTAACAAAAATACCAAATACTTCCAATAAAAGAGAGGTACCACATATCTAGACGCATTAGATGATCTCAGGAGAAATAACAAAGGTTTAACAATTCTTCCAAGTTCCCCTTTTGGTGCCATTATCCAGTGTACCCCAGCAGCAGCAAGTACTACTGCACTATTTCTACTCCACAGCAGAGGTGAGGTACATTGCAAGAGAATCTTCACATCATCATTATCTTTGGCAGAGGTGAAGCAGGAAGGGTCCAAGTCAGAGCAAGCCTTCTCCAAACTAGATCTAGACAAGTATTTGTCTGGTCCTTCAAGATAACTCCTCACAACTATATTTGCCATCTCGGAATCACAAACCACGTTATTTCCCAAGCCATCAGTGCTCTCTCTCATTATAAACGAGGGACTTGATTTCTCTTTTTCAGAACTATAGTCCTTGGAAGAACAAGCACCCATCATTATGGATTCTTCAACGAGCCCATGGAAAGCTATAGCATATCGTAAAAGGATCCCTATCAGAACAATCTGGCCCCATTCCTCCACATCAGGCAGAGTCTCACACAATTTTCTGAAGTTTTTCCCAATCAAGAAGAGATTGTTTGGAGAAACAGAAGCAAATGCGGCAGCAGCTGCTCCAACTACTGTAGGAGCATTATCATTCAGCAGTACCCCCACAATCTACAACACATAGAAAGAGCACCGTACATATCAATTTTACACACAGGTAATAATTGGAGTACAGACGTAGTCACAAACACATAGAGAATAATCTACAGTCAATTCATCTTTGCTTAACTTGAGTTTCGATCATAAGATCATCCAAGCAACTACAAAATTTTGTGAAACATGCATTTTGGATGAGCTGTTATTTATTCACATTCACTTAACGTCATGCAGGCAAGCACTAAACAATTTGCAATGCTTAGCATTTCAAGGTTGACCTCAAGCAAATGTTTGAGGCAGAATTAAGATACAAATTCATTGGTGTTTGTAGATTCCTCTAATTTATAATGCTGAAATGAATACCGAAGAGGAACGTTAAGCATGACGCTTAATCGAAATGTAATAATTAACTTTTATACCATGAGGACAATTGTTTTAAGTTATTCCCTAATATCAGCAATGTTATTTTGTTAATAGCTGCTCAAGTGAAGATACAAAGAGGTTTCCAGGGCTCAAAGCATTCAAAGAATTGTGTGAGCACTAAAAGCTATGGAGCACATTAAGTCTGACAGTCGGATAACATAAGATAGTCATTGGAAACGATACAACTCTTTCAGCGATATCCACTTCTACCAAAGTCCGCACAAGGCTACAACAAACATCTACACGCCATCCGGTCTTCACAGAGAAAATGCTATGTTTAATCACATGATACAGTGCAACTGTGCAATGGGCGATCCATAGAGCTGGTTAATGGGAACTAGCAAAAACTTTATGCATATCCCTGATTCCCTGTCTTTGCATCTTTTGAAGAATCCATGCATTCCTAAAGGTAATGTACCACAGGAATTATATGTAGTAGTATATAAACCCACCTCTTCAATTGTGCTTTTATTTTCTTCTAATTGCAAATCATGCAACTTTGGGAGTGCATTTGCAGCGCACTTTCTAACATATATAGATGGATCTCTGGCACACTTCCTTGTCGCCACCAAAACAATTGGTGCAATCATATGTAGACGGATTCCTGCCATGGTACGAAGTGCCCAAGCCCTGACTAACGGGTTTGGATCCCCCAAATCCTTCTGGAAACAGTTTATCGAGAGCAGTGCCTCATTTGGGCATCTGAGACATTAAATGAAGTCATAACTCATCAGATATAAACAGATATTCGGAGTGTGTATCAAACTACATCAGAGATACTCAAATAAAAGCAGAACTCTTATTTATAAATGGTATGCAATATAGATCTTTAGATGAAACAGAGTACTTGTAGGCAACTCCACAGTCGTTAGAACTACTTAGAAGGCCTAGAATAGTGCAAGTCCGTACTTCTCGGCATAATGCAATAGATACAAGTACGCCAGCTTCTTGACTTCTAGTGATTGTGATGCCACCATTTTCACCACCTATAAATTCATCAACCAACCAAATAAAGAGGTGAGAAGGAGAGAAAGAAGCAAAAAAGTGCAACCTTCTCATAAATTGTGTAGAGAACTGCTCAATAGATTATCGAAACCACCTCACAACAGTTAAGATATAAAATTATTTTCCCGGATCAAGATAAAACGGCAAATATAACTAGTTCGAATTGAGCAAGCACCTGAGGGAAGAAATTGGAGACATCAAAACCTTGAGCAATGAGTGCAAGCAATCGCTTGAGAGCTTCGCATTTCTCAGAGTCGAATTTGCTCTCGAGAAGCGGGGCGATATTGACGTCATCAGGGTCATCGTAAAGGTGAGCATCCGTGCCGATCCGAAACGCCAATGTTGAGGCTTTACTCAGTGAATCCGCCGTAGCTCCGAACTGCGAGAACATGGTCGATTATCTCAAAGTCCAGCAAATGCAGTTCAGGTTTCAGGGAATCGATGATCAACTCCCCTGAACATGAACCGGGAGAGGAGTGACCGGAAACCGGGCTCTGCGGAGCTTGGCTAGCTGGAAAAGGATAAAGAAGGGATTTTTTTAATTTTCTCTTTTTAATCAAGAAATGAGATTTTTTAATGTCCTTTTTTTTATTTTAATGTCCCTTTTGAAAAATAGATTTTACCCAAATGAAAGTAAATTAAAATACTAATTCCTCACATCCCAGTTTAAATCTTTTATTCGCCTGTTTAGACATTTTAGTCAAAGACTCTCATTTCTATTTAGAGAAAAATTTAACATTTTAATTATCTTCACTAATCTCAATATATTATATATTCATTAAAATTATTTCTTAAATATATTCAAATTACATTTTTATATTATTGTCTAAATAACCGTGTCGTTTTCAATGAAAAACTTTAACCATGACGGAAGTAGTACATTTATATTTAATCATTTTCTTTTCAAATTAATTTATTTTTTAGAAAAAATGGCTATCGTTCTAATGTTTTTTACTTAGTTTTTAATTGGACTGAGATTTGTTGGTCTAATCTAGCCCGTTAAAGTTTGGTCTGGTTTAATCTGATAAATGTATGGTCTCTTTTTATTTTATAACTATAGAAGTCGAATCTGATGTGGTCTGATTTGTTTAAGTCTGATCTGTTGTCAATTTGGTCCTAATAGTATAATGAAGACGTCAATTAAGTCTTCGTTCTTTTCAAAAAAAATCAATCATATCTTCAAGCTTTATAATAAGGTTCAATTGAGTCTGTTGGTAGGTTACCAACCACATCAGCAAGTCACATACTAATGTGGTACTCGGGTGGCAGTTCACTCATCATTTGACTTTGCTGACGTGGAGCACACGTGGAAGCTCAACCAACCATTTACCGATTACAAAATATGATTTTTCTTAAAGTATGAGGACCTATTTGACTTTTTCTTAGCTTGATAGTATGAGGACCAAATCGACAATTTCCCCTTGTTTTTTATTTCTCATAATAATATGCACACTTGACTACTCTCTGGATCTTCTATCTTGACTCTTCAATTGAGGTCAGACTTTTCTTCCTCGAATACAAAGAGTTTTGGAAGATGGTGATGTTCTCATCTATGCTTCCAGTCTTGTTTAATTTCTACTTTCGAGAGTTTGGTCAAGCGTCTTCTTTGGCCAAAGGTTTTGGTATGGCGTCTTCTTTGGCCGAGAGTTTTGTCCGCTTCATGTGAGTGTGTGATATATTTAATTTGCTCCTAGTGATATGTGATTTCTCATTGGAGTAATCGATCTAGTGAGTTTTCGTTGTTCATGGTTGGCAAAGCTTTTTCAACTGTGTTGTTCTAAGGCTTCAGTTATTCACCATCCACCTGAAACACCGCCTCGCTCCGGGAAAATGAAAGCACTCAATTGGATATCCTTTTCGGTGGCTGGTCAAATCGATGTTTTAGACAATTTCAACTCGATAGAGTTTCCTTTGTTGGTTGTTGGTCAAATCAATTATCCTTTTTCGGTGGCTGGTGAAGTCGAATTTTTTATTTGTAATTTTCTATTTTTTATCTGGAAGGTTTATGAGGTCGTTTCTGTTCAAAGTCTCATCCTATTGTAGCCTTAGGCTATTCATTTACTTGTTTCTTTGCTATTTTTTTATATGAATAAACTTGTTATTTGATCTTCAATATATATGTGTGTGTGTGTGTGTCAGTGTGTGTGTGTGTGTGTGTGTTGTGTGTGTATGTATATATGTATATATAATCATTTTGTAAATATGTTGTATTGGGACAATGAGCCGGGTCCAGTACTATCGGCCCGTTGCACTCAAGCCTAGGCTCGCCAGGCCTAGGACACAGCCCGGCTAGCGGAAATTGGCCTAGGGCAGGTATGTATAGTGAAAAGTTTTTTTTTTCAATAAAATTGAATCAAAATTGATTAACTTAGTGACTTTTTTTAAAATCCGGTGTGCAAACCACCAAAATCGGTGGGGTAAATGTCAGGGAACATTTGCCAAGTTTTATTAAATAAAATAATTACATGATTTAACTAAATGACAACTTTTTTTGTATGCAGTAATATACACCATTGAGTTCCAAAAGAGAGGGTTGCCTCACGCGCACATATTAATTTTCTTGCACCCACAATATAGATATCCACATCCTGATGATATTGATAAGATTATATCAGCTGAGCTACCAGATGAAGAGTTTGACCTTGAATTGCTAAAGATAGTCTCATCTTTAATGGTACATGGTCCGTGTGGGTTATAAAATAAGAAATCACCGTGCATGCAGAACGGTTATAAATGCATGACACTTTCCGAAAAAGTTTCCTGACCGGACGAGTATTGATGAAGACGGTTATCCATTGTACATGAGGACGGATAATGGCCGTGTTATTCAAAAGGGAGACCATGTCATTGACAATCGTTTCGTCGTCCCTTACAACCATCATCTTCTTATGAAATATAATGCTCATATAAATGTAGAACGGTGTAATCAGTCCCGCTCCATCAAGTATCTATTCAAATATGTGAATAAGGGTCATGATCGCGTCACCGCTGGATTTTATGATGGTGCACCTCATTAAGCTGATTCAGAACCAGTGGATGAAATAAAGTTGTATTATGATTGTCGGTATTTGTCATCGTGTGAGGTTGCATGGAGACTTTTTGCCTTTGACATAAATTATAGAGAACCTTCTGTTGAGAGACTAACATTTCACTTGCCGGGTGAACAACATGTAATATTTGACGAAGGTGATTCTCTTCAAGAGGTTTTGGATGCACAAGCGCAAAAGAAAACAAAGTTCCTTGCATGGATGGATGAAAATGCGAAATACCCTGAAGCAAGAGGTCTAACCTATGCTCAGTTCCCTTCGAAGTTTGTGTGGAAGCAGACTGGACATGAATGGCTTCATAGGAAAAGGGGGAACACGGTTGGAAGATTGCATTTTGTCCCCCCCCCCCCCCCCCCCCAGCGACAGGTGAATTATATTACTTGCGTGCATTGTTGAACCATGTCATGGGACCAAGATCATTTGTGGAAATATGAACAATTGACAACGTTGTGTATTCCACATTCAAAGATGCATGCAATGCATTAGGATTGCTAGGTGATGATAAACAATACATTGATGCTATCATAGAGTCGAGTTTTTGGGGAACTGGGGAGTATATGAGGTTCTTCTTTGTTGTATTGATGGTGCCTAACCAAATGTGTACACCACATGTGGTTTGGGAAAAAACTTGGAAGTATTTAAGCGATGATATTCAGCACAGTTCCATGGTAAGTATATTACTATATTTCTTGATTTATAATATTTATTGTTACAACCACATACATTAGTTCCACTCAATAATACTAATAATAAATCATTTATGCAAATATGATAGAATTATTTATTTCTTTTTTGACATAGCTGATTCTATCGGATGATGAATTGAAGAGTTTTGTTTTGGTAGAGATAGAGAAGTTATTGCGCAAAATGGAAAAACTTTGATGGAGTTCCCATCCATGCCACGTCGTGACAGGTCATTGATTTCTGAATCACAGAATAAACCTCTCCATGATGAGTTGAACTATGACAGACCATCTCTGGCTGCAGAACATTTGCATCTATTATCAACCATGACTGTTGAACAAAGGAATATATATGAGACCATCATGCAATGTGTTACTGAAGATCTGGCAGAACAAGTAAAACATACATATGGAGGGCGATATCCGCATGCATAAGATCCAAAGGTGAAATTGTGCTAACAGTGGCATCCAGTGCAATAACATCGCTACTTATTCCTGGTGGGCGAACAGCTCATTCCCGATTTGCCGTTCCTATTAACATCAATGAAGACTCCACTTGTAATATAAAGCAAGGAAGTCATCTAGATGAGCTAATAATCAAAGTGAAGCTTATCATATGGGATGAAGCTCCAATGACACACAAACATTGTTTTGAAGCTGTAGACAGGACACTAAAAGATTTGCTTAGATTTCAGAATCCCGATAGCTTGAACCTTCCGTTTGGAGGGAAAGTTGTCATTTTTGGTGGTGATTTCACGCAAATACTCCCAGTCATACCAAAGGCATCTAGGCAAGAGGTTGTTCGTGCTACTATTAATGCCTCATATATTTGGAGACATTGTCAAGTTCTCACGTTAACAAAAAACATGAGGCTGCAGTGTGGTTCTTCACATTGTAATGTTGACGAATTGAAAAGGTTCCCAAATTTGGTGCTCAAAATAGGAGATGGAAATATCGGGATTGTCAAATATGGAGAGGTCATCAATTATATACCTGATGATATGCTTATTACTACCTTAGGTGATCCTATTGCTTCAATAGTAGCTAGCACTTATCCGTCACTTCTGGAAAATATGACAGATCCATTATATTTTCAGCAAAGAGCTATTTTGACACCCACAAATGATGTGGTAGAGCTTATAAATAATTATATGATTTCATTGATGCCTGGGGAAAAGATGACATATTTGAGTTTTGACAGTCCATGCTCGCTTGAAGGAAATATTGGCGCTGAATCTAATGAAGTACATACTCAAGAGTTTCAGGACACCATCAATGCATCTGGAATACCGAACCATAAATTGGGACTAAAGGTTGGTGTTCCTATTATGTTATTGGAAACATTGACCAGTCCTCTGGCTTATGCAACGGAACTCGCCTGATTATTACTCGGTTAGGTAAATTTGTTTTGGAGGCGAATGTTATAACTGGAAAAAGTATTGGTCAAAAGGTTTTGATTCCACGACTATAATTGGTCCCGTCAGATAGCAGAATTCCTTTCAAATTTCAGCGCAGGCAATTTCCAATAATTGTTTCATTTGCCATGACGATAAACAAAAGTCAAGGACAATCTTTGGATCAAGTGGGCATATATCTTCCAAAATCTGTCTTTACGCACGGTCAATTGTACATGGCCATGTCAAGGGTTATCTCAAGGAGTGGGTTGAAGATTCTTATATGTGATGACGAGGGCCGCACTATCAACACCACGAATAACGTGGTATATAAAGAAGTTTTTCAAAATTTGTGAAACTTTTTTTCATTGACAACATGTATGATTGTTGCTCCATCTTATCAATTTTAATGAGACATATAGCT